ACCAACCCAATAATCACTACATCCTGTGCTTTTTTCCTCTAGAATTAACTGTGAAATTAGAGAATAGTAAAGAAGACGACGAGTTAAGGCTTAGCCTATAAAAATATAGGCCTATATGTATTTTTGAAATATAAATTTGGACAGTGAATAAACAGTGAAAATACAGAATTGTAAAGTGTAGAGAAGAAAATGGGGTATAGACAGGACTATGCAATGAGTAAGTGTCTTTTAAGAAGAAAATAGGACATAGGCCTAAGCTATGGAAGGTTTTTTTTATCATACAAAATTACCTCATGTATCTTTAAAGTTTTTAAAAAATATAAGAGAATACAGAATAGCAGCAAAAAAATCGTTTTTGTTACATGCATGTATATATCGATTATATTTGGTTCACTTTTATTTATTTCCCTTTTTGTTTGTTTAAACGTCAGTGAAAAAAGAAGTAATTAAATAAGCTAGACACATATCATATACACATAGATCTATAATTTTTTTTACTATGTGAATAGCCTTTATTTTTTTTTAAAAAAAAGACTTTAAAACTACAGATTATTCTGTCCAAAATAACAAAGAAATAACTAACTAGACGTCAAATCTTAGTTTTTTCCCCCTCTAAAATTAACTGTGAAATTACAGAAAAGTAAAGACGAAAATGGTATATAATGTAGACCTATATATTTGTGAAAAATTAAAATTTTGACTATTTTTTATTTAATAAACAGTGAAAATACCGAATTTAAAATTGGGATATAGGCCCATAAAATATAGTTATATAATGTAATCCTTATATTTTATTACGAATAAATTTGTGCTTTTATTCTCTCTGAAATTACCATTGAAAAACAGCATTGTAAATAGTAAAGAAGAGAATGTGATATAGGCCTATACGATAAGTATTTTTTAAAAAATAGGATATAGTCCTATAATATACGTATCTTTTTTTAAAGAAAAAAAGATATAGGCCTATGCAATGACAGGTGTTTATTAATATAAAGACCCCCACAAAAAAATAACTTTTCTAAAATTACTAGAAATCGGACGCAAATATATAGGCCTGTATGTGAATAGCGTACTTCTATGTCTTTAAACGTTTCTAAAATTACTAAAACAAAAAACATTCATATGTATGTATGTATGTATGTATGTATGTATAGCTGAACAGTATTTAAATTTGAATATTGTAATGCGCCTTTGCAAAGACAAATTGGTAGTGTAAATACTGCTTATACTTTTATTATATTATCATGGACCCTATATGTCAATGGTCGATAGATATTATGTACTTTTTTTTACCAAAGGACATGAAACAATTTTAGTATTCATAAATATTTCAAATTTAGTAGAAAATTTTGGACGAATTCAACTGGCTGATTTCAAAACATCTTTGCAATCCAAAATCAAAACTATATAATTAAAAAAAAAAGTGGGTGGCATCTTACATTTTCTTTTTCGTCAGACGATTTTATTTCTTCCAAACAAAGAATGATTTAGTATGTATTATCAATAGTAATGGCAATGGTACAAAAGCCCATGCCTTACTCTATCATTTAATATTTATTATTTTCAATTCTATATAGAAAATGATAAATCCAACTTTATAATCTGATTCACGGCAAAATGTAATGGTTCGCTTCAAAACATTTTATGGCGCCAGCCGATAATGAGAATATGCACTTTTAAGAATAAGATTAATGTTGTACCCTTGTGGATTTTTTTTATATAAAAACGCCAACACTGTTTTAGATAAAATATAATGTTCTGTTGTTGTTGATGTTTTCGTCGAATTTGCTTGTAAACAAAGCGCATACTGATAGTGGAAATAAAAGACTACAAGTGCTTCTGGGTGTAGCAAGATGGCGGACGGTGGCTTCAAGGTACGTCATCGCAATCAACAAATTTTGTTGATTGCGTCATGACCTATCCAGTGTCAAAGCCGTATAGATAGATAAAGTTGCGACAACTGTGAAGCCAGAAATTTCACATGACGTCATGAAAATATAACGTCAAGTGTTCAAAGACGCCATCTTGGGTCCCAAGTATTTGTACCTACTCACTATCTATTTTATGTCCTATCGTTCTGTTGCGTCGAAGTTAGCTGCCCCCGACAGGAATATAGATAGATATGTCATAGAATTCCGCAAAAAAGGGATAAAACATACATTTTTTAAACGAAATGTTTAGCTGAACAAACTATTATTATTATTATGCAACAAAAAACGCACATTATTGTTATAATAACAAAGTCTAATTCATAAGAAAATACACCAGATAAAAGCGCTATTAAATATATTTAACTTGCATACGCTTTTAAAAATCAGATTTTTTTTTGCAGACGAGTTAAGTGAAAAATGAAAATTTAAATAGTAATTTGGGAGATAAAACCGTTTTGTCTTCTAGCCGGCAAAATAAATGCCTGAAATTCCATGATTTCTTGGTCTGGAGCCATTCCGGATTGTGTGTCAGTTTTCGGTCATCGATCATTAATTGTATCATCAATTTTACGAAAATAGAAATTTCTTTAAATTGACTAATGGATAAAACGTTTGTAACTTAAAATCAGTGTAAAATCAGTTTAATTTGAATAAATGTTGTCTAGCGTGACATGTGTTTCGGGCATATGTTTCATAAGTGACATGTGATACGAGATATAGCCCTCCGAAACTTCCTGGTTTCTTTTGCGATTTGTTTGGAGTAAGACCTTATCACTCCCCGCCCATGTGTAAATAACAATATTAATCTAATATATAAACCGCACAAATTTAACAGATACAAATAATGTACATGTTATTCCATAGGTAGACAGACATTGAAGGGGTCCAGTGAAGTAGACGCGGCTGGTTTAGAGTTGCGCCCCATTTCCAATGAAATAATCATGTTTTTCTGATGCTCAACTAGTATCAAATATATATCGTGTCTGAGGTTTGTTGCAAATCGCCTCGAGCATGTTCCACACATCTCAACATTTATCAACTTTTTGTTCAATCCATAAAAGCATACATTCCTACAAAATGTTTTGTTTAGTCAAGTGAAACAAGAAAATTCATAGGCTAAATGGAACAATAGAACAAGTACACCTTAATGTCGACATATGATTCAACCGAAAGATCCTATATAATATGCAACATAGATATATAATATCCACATTCAAGTTAAAAAAGAAGCGTTTAATATAGGCGAGGCCAGTTCCCCAATCCCTATTCAGATACAAATCTGAATAAAAATATTGCTTATAAATAAAAAAAAATAAAATAAAAAAACCCAAACGAACTGCATCTATTCATTTTAAGTCTTGCGTCGAGCCGAATAAAGTATATGATTTATTGTCATAAAAACATCAATGTTAAAATTGTGTGTTTCTAAAAACTATAATTGGATCTTTATTGCCCGCATTCCAATGTACCTAGAATTTTTTTTACTCCAAGTCTATTGTATCTAGATGTTTAAATGAAATGAAATGAAATGGGGTTTAACGTTCTACTGTTCTGCTCTTAAACTGGGCTAATGAAGACGAGCATACGCCATACAGTGTGCTATGAGGGAAATGTTGCCCGGGCAGCGGCACTACGGCCTACTCTTATATCGAATTCCAACTGCCAAGGGATCTTTTACGTGCACGCCAATGAGTACACGGGACCTCGGTTTTTCGTCCTATCCGAACGACTAGACGAGCATACGCCATACAGTGTGCTATGAGGGAAATGTTGCCCGGGCAGCGGCACTACGGCCTACTCTTATATCGAATTCCAACTGCCAAGGGATCTTTTACGTGCACGCCAATGAGTACACGGGACCTCGGTTTTTCGTCCTATCCGAACGACTAGACAGCTGTTCTTGTCAGGCACACCATCCAGCATCACTGACAAGGGGTAACCACGCTGGAAAATCTGAATGAACTTTCTCGGCCAATGCAGGGATTTTTAATAAGATTCAACACTAATTTATTTTTAAACTTTAAATAGCTCAGCGACTGTCGAGCGACTTTACTTGTTCGGGAGTTTGTAGGCTAGGCACTGATATTGATATTGGTAGATCTGCCATCATGCTGTAATAGAACTAAAGGTCAGCTACCCATACGTACGCGGCGAGAAAATCTGCGAAAACTCTAACACTACATCGAGCAATGTATCACGTTACGATACGTATTCGTGATCCGGATGGGAAAAACTCCACTTGCTAAACGTCTCTATTATTACTAAACTACATCGAGCAACGTATCACGTGACATACGGATTCGCGATACGGATGGGAAAAATTCCACTTGCTAAAAGTCTCTATTATTACTAAACTACACCGAGCAACGTATCACGTGACGATACGGATTCGTGATACGGATGGGAAAATTCCACTTGCTAAACGTCTCTATTATTATTGGGGGTGTTTTTATCCCACTGGGTAAACGATCAAGGTGCTTGTGTGACGTAAACTGAGTTCTCCGACTGCCAGGAAGACTATTACAATTTTGACTTTTTCTATTAAACCAGTTGATAAATTTCAACCAATTTTGAAAGATAGTATGTTTGAGTGGTGTATCGGTGTGGTAAGGCTTAGACATCTTTTACTTGGAAAAGTATTTTGAATAACGTTTGTATTCTAGCGCCTGAACAAAGGTGTGTAAAATACAGTTAGCGCAAGATAAGTTCTAGGAGCACATTGAATGAAAAATGAAGATATTTTATCCCAACCGTAGGGCTTGAACATAACACATAGAAATAATCAATGTTTGGGTATAGATAGAACCTATAGTCTAATTTCTAAAATTCCCCTTATCCGATTTTGGCCGATATCAGATATTTAGTGCAAAAGGTCATATTGATCACAAATCTGAAAGAATTAGCTTCAGTACTGTTAATTGTGGGTCTTTCTGTACTTCGACTAGTCTACGACAGGCAGGTTAGATTTTAATTACATAGTACGATTACCCCAGGCCTTGAGATGGATGAATATATAGCCTAATCATTTTGAATCTTGGTTTAAAAGCGACAAATATTTTTTAATTTCAGATATGGGGTGAAAAAGTGTTAGGTGTAATGTCATGGATCATGCCTTTGTTTGTGGTATTATCATGTCTGGGAGCAGCTAATGGTTGTTTATTTTCTAGTGGTAGATTATGTTTTGTAGCAGCTAGAGACGGTCATTTAGTTGACGTTTTGTCATATTTACATAAAGATAAATATACACCTTTACCATCTCTTATATTTACTGTGAGTAATCTGTATAACACCTTTACCATCTCTTATATTTACTGTAAGTAATCTGTATAACACCTTTATCATCTCTTATATTTACTGTGAGGAATCTGTATTACACCTTTACGATCTCTTATATTTACTGTAAGTAATCTGTACCATCTCTTATATTTACTGTAAGTAATCGGTATCATCTCTTATGTAAGTAATATTTACTGTAAGTAATCTGTACCATCTCTTATATTTACTGTGAGTAATCTGTATAACACCTTTATCATCTCTTATATTTACTGTGAGTAATCTGTATTACACCTTTACCATCTCTTATATTTACTGTAAGTAATCGGTATCATCTCTTATGTAAGTAATATTTACTGTAAGTAATCTGTATTACACCTTTATCATCTCTTATATTTACTGTGAGTAATCTGTATAACACCCTTATATTTATGGTGAGTAATCTATCACTTTTATTTTCTGTAAGTTTTCCGCGTTATCTTACACCTAACTCTATTACAGACGCCCGTAGGCGCAGTGTCGGATTAGCCATTAGGCAAATAAGGCACGTGCCTTGGAGCCAGCCTAAAACCCAGGCCAAAAAAAATTTATGTAAATAATGGCATCCTTCTTGAACTGCGTTATAAATTTTCTGTTGTTAAATTTAACTTTCGCCCTTTTATCGGTGAACCCAAAATGTGCCTTAGGCACTGTCTAGGCGTATAACATCTTCGCTGATTATAAGTCGAAGAAACATTTTTTTACCAAAGTTTTGCCCGAAAATAAAAACGTGCCCAGAAACAGTGTCCTTTATTTATACCGAACCAAGATGTGGTTTTCATAATATATCATTCTACGTATTTGTTTGATTTCAGACCTTTTATTTTTGAAGGAATATTTACATTTTTAAATAATTAAAATTCTTAAGTCTTTACACTTACACAGATTAATAACCATTTTCAACATATTGTAACCTACCTGAAACCCAGGTGTTGCGGTTTCACGAAGTACAAAAATAGATATATAAGATTTTCCATTTTATTTCAGACTTTAATAGGTATATTAATGCTCATACCTGGTGAACTCGGACAGCTTATAGAATTTTTCGGGTTTGCATCGTGGATTTTCTATGGTTTAACAGCCGGTTCACTTTTAATTCTTAGGAAAACAAAGCCTGGTCTCAAAAGAACGTATAAGGTAGGTTCTAGCATTTTATTTATATGAAATACGGTGTCAATAGCACGAATGTCCCAAGGCTATCTTTTGGGGATTGCACAGTACCTATAGCCCAGAGGAAGTTAATCAGGCCCTGGAAATCCGAGCCGTTAAAGTCACATTTGACGACGTCAGAATTTTGGTTGATTCCCAGAAATCATGACATTACCGTTTTTTTTTTTGTTTATGTTTTTAATTTTTTAAATTTTTTTAGGACTTCGAATTTTGTCTAATGGTTTGGATTGTTCGTACTTGGTTTTATTTTATTAGTCAACAAAAATGCTTTTTATGGATCGACCACAATAAACACTTTCGAATAACCGCAGTTTTCTGGGCGACTGAAATCGTGGACTGACGGACAATTTAGTTACTTCTACCACTGAGGGCAACAATGGCTCAGTGGGTACGACGTCGGCTCGTTAATCCGGAGGTCCCGTGTACGATGCCAGCGTTTGCCGAGAAAGTTCATCGGATTTAAGCGTGGTTCCTCATAACACATTGTACGGCGTATGACCGTCTTCATTAACCCAGTGGGAAAAGAACAGTAGGACGTTAAAGCCCATTTCATTTCATTTTTACTTTTACCATTAAAGATACATTATGGGAGATAAGATAAATAGATGGCAGTTCTCTCTATAATAGTTAAAAACTAAATAGTGTAAAGGTAATTTGCTGAAAATTTCAGTCAAATTGATCCACTATGAGCCGAGAACGAAGCGGGTGAAATTTTCGCATAGTCTCGGTCATCATTACTAAAATCATTAATATAAACAGCATAGTCTCGATTATCCACTGTTTTGATTTAATTATCAATGGCCGTTAAGCGGCATATAGGAATCTAATCCAGCCAAGATCGAAGGCTAGCCTGGACATCGAGAGTTTATTATGGTCTGGATAAGTTAATTAATGTCTAATTGATAATTTAAATAACATTTCAGGCCTAAAGAAAGACTTGTAATAAGCAGATTTTGCTCTTGCATAATGCATGTTTAAGTGACCACTGTCATCAGGTTGACCATTCTGACTATAGTCTGTCCCTGTATGGATGTAATTGTAATTCTAAAGTTAAAAATTATGCCCTATCTATAGCCATCTCATACGATTTAAATTGTTTAAGTGACATTTAATAACTGGATGAGAATAACACATGACATATAATGGAGAACCCTCGTCGAAACGTCGCTGAAATAAACTCTTCAAGTAACTTGTATTCCATATAATTGTGTCGTGTTGTTACTCACACGATATATTGATGTTTTTTCCAGCTTATGTCACTCAGTAGGAATCGTGGGACTTTTATACATCTTTTCTTGATCTATTTCAGGTGCCATTATTTATGCCAATAATAGTTGTGATAGTCTCGATTTACCTGGTTTTAGCCCCGATTATCGCATCACCACAAATGGGCTATGTTTATGTTGTTATGTTCATGTTATGTGGAGTTTTAGTGTATTTTCCAATGGTGTATTATAAATATACTCTTAAATTCTTTGGTAAGTCACATTTCGATATTACAACACCAACAATTTCATGGCAAGAAAAACGTATAGTCCTTAGAATGGTACATAAATCTAGGTTCCACATGTGTACGTATCACTCACGTTGGTGTGCACTTAAAAGAACCATTGCCAATTATTTTGGATGTTTTACAAAAGTCACCAACCGCGAGCCATTTGAATGTAACTGAATTAATTCGTAGTTGTGCGCTAACGAGGCATTATTCAAGAGCTAAATCTGCCTATTGCTGGTCTTTCTTTAGGCCTTAAATGTTTAGAAATTATTAATTAGACATTTATTAACATGACAAGATCATAACCTACTCTCGATGTCACCAGATAGCTCCGATTTTAAGTATATTAGAACATTTAAAAATGGAAAAGCGGAGCTAAGCCTCTTATAACCAGCACCGTCGTTAGGATAATAATCAATCAATGTACACATCTTGTCAAAACTACAAACATTGATAACTTCGCTCAGAATAAAGTAATTTGTATGAAATTTTCGATATATTCATTTTACATTATCTATTTTTGAACTATTATAGCAAGAAGGGCCAGTTATTTATCTAAATCAGGGATGTCAAACGTGCGGCCCATGGGCTAGATCCGGCCGGTCAAGCGTTTAAATGTGGCCCGTGGAACAAATTTCAACAAACTGAGTGTCGATAATTCTTAGAAACTAATTCTTGATATTTTTGTATACCTCCGGCCTATTTGCTGTAAAATTTTAGTTCCTGTTTTGTTTATTTATTTTTATTTTTTTTTTTAGGCAAAATAACCAAATATTTACAGATACTTTTTATGGTAATTCCCACCAACATGGAATGACACGTGTATATTTCTGTTAAAAACATGTTTGTTTTTATTGTATACTGCCGTTGTCTACATTAGCGTTAGTTCTAAATGTAAATGCCAACTGCAGATTTGGTCAAAGGTCACGGGATGTAAAAAGGGCTAGCTCTAATCCTAGACCTACCTCACAATCTCGTGCCCTAACGTTACTTACATCTTGCGACCTTGACGAAATCTGCAGTTGGCCTTAATATTTAGATCTGATCCTATATTAGCCCGGTTTGTGCAGAGAAGTAAGACGTTACCCCCATTTATTTTATATAATGTTATTTTATAGATATATTTTGTTTCATAAATAGAATCTCAGATTTGTTACGAAATTAATGTTACAATATTTATAAACGAATACTGTTACAGTTATGTAATGTGACAATGACACCTTTGCAATTTAATATTATTACACTACATTGTCCTTCATTAATTTCAGAGTTATCATTGTGCGCACCAGGGGCTAAGTGAGAGGGACACAATGACGAGCTGTGCGTCATGGTTTTGAGTTTTTGCGACACTCGCTAATGGCAAAAAAGCATGCGGTTTTCAACATTATAATTATAATGCTCAACATTGCTAGAGTAGCATGTTCCACACAGCCCAACATTACTAGATGGCACTGGGAGGGTCAGCCACCACCAACCCCCTTCCCTGCACACACACATATAAATAGTTTTTTTTCGGGGCCCGGACGGGATCTTGTTCCTCATGCAAAATCATGGGTCACCACGCCCATAACGTGTACAAGCCATTGGTTATTGGTCTATTTCTCTTTACTATATAATAATCCGCGTATTTTGGCCATGTTAAGTCGGAATAATATCACAGGTTTACTTTGTCGTATGTTCGCTCCTATACTGTCCTGAGCTTTTTTTTAAAATTAATATCACCCAAAATATTGCAAAAAGTGACCTACAAGGGAATATATGTTATATACATGTAAATATGCATATAATTCTTAACAGAATTGTAGATAATGGTTACTTTTTGCAAATTTTGGGCGATATTAATTGACAATCACTTTGGCCGAGTATTTGTCATTAGACCTATTGGGTGAGTGTTTGGGAAAACGTCCTGCCCGTGTTTGTGGCACAACAACACAGCAGTGTTATTAGCAATGATGAATCGGATCGAGATGATGGTCAGGCCTCACGAGAGGGGGGTGCTGCCGGTGCGCGAGGTGACACTGTAGACCACTAGGCCATACCAACCCCCAGAGACACAACTAAATCAAGTGGGTCCTTATACTCTACATGGATCGACATTGTCAATAATGCTGACTAGAACACTGTATGTGTCCTTGGTAAGTTTCTCTACAATGGGAAGGAAACCTATTTAATATATCTGTCCACAAGACCACCCAACCTTTGTGGGGACTGTATTAATTGGAACATATATTGACAAGCACCTGTTCTGTGGATCTGGTTCCTCCTTCTATTAAGCACAAAAGGCGTATAATAAAACCAGAATAAATCAAATACATTTTCAAAATCAACAAAATGAAAATAAAAGAAATAACTCCACAAAACAAAACTCTAGAATCTAGCACTTTTATTGGATAAAAGGTACTGTGTAAAGTATTTATAATAATAATAAAAATATATAAATCAGCTAGTTTTGTATATTGACTATGAAAAGCTACCTGTATAATTAGAATAATATAATTCTATAATGTGTTCACAACCCTGTTCATAAAACTACAAAATACATCATATATAACTTTTACTATAAAAAAAAAATAGCCATGAATTCATTATGATTATGTTAGAAATAAGGGTTTTTTAAAAGCTGGCAGAAAAATACCCAACCCTCAAATGAAACATCTCCAATATTAAATTTGGATAAGCCTTGTAATAAATACAGCTTTATAATTTCTTTAACAATTGTCATTTTATGACAGTCATTTCAATAAGTAAGCATTAAGAGTCATTTACTAGTAATTCTGGACATTACATTTTATCAAGAGTTAGAGTCATTTACTAGCATTTCTGGACATTATATTTTATCAAGTGTTCAAGTCATTTACTAACACTTCGGGCCTTTACATAAATTTTCTTACAAATAAGTAAACTGCCAAGTACAGAAGAGAACACATAATAGGGCAAAATATGAAAAATGGTATCTATGAATGAAATATAATATTTACAAAACAAAGGCAGTATGTAGTGTAAGTTATATATATACATTTTGATTCTAAGTTTAATATCAGTAAATTTAAATTAAATGCTTGTGTTTATTTTATGTTTAACATTAGTAAATTTTAAGTATAGTAAATGCTTAAGTGTATTTTATTCTCGACTATCGGTGTTTTCAATCATTGATCATAGCTCTACACGAAATATGTACATCACAAGATTTTTATTTGCCTGGATTTTGCTTATTTAAAATAAAGAGATTTCCTGGTCCCTAATTAAAGTAGCTAAATCTCTAACTCATTATTATCCATAATCTTTCACATGAAAAACACGAATTAGAATTTAATATTTGTCTATGTCCATCGATGTTGTAATTTTACTGTGAAAATAAGAATTCCGAATATCCTAATATTTAACAAACAATGAACATTTCAAAATCAGTTTGTGATGTTGTTATCGCTATACTCATGAATGTCATTTGTAATGAGGCTCCTTGATGAACAAGGCTAAACATCAGCATGTACCTGGTTAAGTCAATATCAAACTACAATCCTGATGTGGACTGGACTAACCATTTACTTCAATTCACTTTGGAGTGCTCTCCGATTTCTATTTTGATGAACATAACTGCTTAAAAAAAAATGAATGTAAATCAGTTTATATACATTCATGTTACATTATTATGTGCTTTTTGACCAATTTTTGATCATTTAATGTACCAAAGAATAGAGATTTAGCTCCTTTAAGACAACTTATATTCCTACATCATGTGCAGGTAGCACTCCATTTAAACTAAGTGAATAAAATGGACATATATGTTAATCAATCGTTCAGAACTTGCATAGTGATATATATATAAATACATGAAACAAACAAGAGACATATAGAGTGATTATTAATTAAAGCTTTTAACTACATGTAATAAACAACCATCAATCAATATTGAAGGATAGAAAACAGTAAAGAACAGAGGCCTTATTCTCTCATTCACAAAAATTTTAATTAAAATATTCCAAAAAAGAAGCTGTTTCATTGGTTAAAGGTTAAAATTTTAGATAATGAAAAGGCTGCTTTTTTATTCCTAAAATGTTTTGGCTTAGATATATGTGAATATGGCCTCTGTTTTACATCAATTTTATACCATATAGAGTTAAAAATTTGCCAACTTTTAATAACAAGAATCCAAAAGAATTCTTATGTTGGCAATTTGAACATTTTTTTTTTTTATAGAACTGAGCTCAAAGATTAAATTTCTACTATATAAATGGAGTATAGACACCAGTGTAAATAAAGTTTTGTTACATTTTTTAAAAAATACTTATCAAAAAAGCTTTCAAGGTTCAAATGTTTAAGTCTGTGATATATAATCTTCTTAGTGTGAATGAGATTCTGAAAATATTATGAATTTCTTGGCCTACTATTTTCATATTACTCACTGGGAATTAAGGCACAATAGCTGGGACTAAAATATGGTCAAAAAAAAAAAAAGCCAATTTTTAATGACTAGAAAAAAAAAAAATCAAAATGAAATTATCTCATTGACCTAGAACTAGAACAGCAGTTGCGATAAAGAATTGTACGATTTTGATTTTTATTTTTCGATTTTGATTTTCATTTTGTGATATTGATTTTCATAAAATACCACTTGGACCTAACCAATGTTTTAAGCATGTTATAACTAATCTTGGCTCAATACAGCTCTGTAAGTCTGTAACATACTGTACGGAGACAAGATTAGTAAGGTGTGTTACACAACTTGGTTATGCTAAAGATGACAATAAATGTACACTAGTAGAAAGCCAGTTGAGGAGATTGGAAACTTCTACATGCAGAGTGGGAGAGAGCGAGAAATGTTTTTCTTACGTTCACTCGATACAAACTGGGAATTAAAACCTTGCCATGTGATTCAATGACAGACCTTATGATCTGAAGCACACATATAACAACATTAGACCACCCTTAAGTCTTGTTTTCCCTTTTTCTTGTTTTTGTGCAGTTTCCACAAATGTTTTCGCAAGTTACATGGAAACGCTCCTATTACATTTGAATTAGACCGACCTTTTCACCGGCGAAAATGCGTACATGGAAAGCAGGCCATATGAGTTAGGTAACCCAGAATTCCCAATAGATGGATTTTCCATTTGTAAATTCTCTCCCCAACCAACATAAAACCATACAACACAATGCAATCATTACTTAATACGTGTAAATTATGAGGTACTTTTTGCATAAAACAAATTATACACTAAAACATACATATTGCTTAATAAGACTTTCTTGTTCACAAAAAATACAACTTGATTATATCACACATTAAATATATTTTTAACTACAACTCAGTGAAAATACAAAATAACATCTTCCACCATTGTTACAACAACTATTGTATAGTTACGGTGTGCAATATAAAACAATCAGACATCTTTGTTCAATTTCATGTCATCTATGTCAACCATGGCTATCATTATAAAATGTTGCCAATTGGACATTTATACAACCAAAATGAAATATCTAATACACAGACAACTACATATATATACCTTGTGTCTGTCTCTAAATTGTTCATAAGTTGTCTGTAACAGTTTCTGCCCCTGTTTTAATCTCCCCCTTTCCCCCCACTTTAATTTCATCAATTAATTCATGCTCAAGAAGTAAATCTTGTTCTGAGGGACACCTCAGACACTTGGGTTCACTTAAACCATAGTCAATGCATGTAGAGCTTATACACTGACAGCAGCCATTGTCGTGGAACCAGCGATATTTGGCAGCACCCATAGACTTGCAGGATTGTTTACATTTTCTGATGGACATACACTGAGACATGAAGGCTACTGTGCAATTCTGTCGACTTAACAATTCTTCCTCTATAGCCTTCTCCAATGACTTACCTGCATCTGAAACATTTCAACAAATTTGACTATTATCGAATACAAACAATTTACCATATAAACATAACTAAAGCTACTCCATTTAGAATACAATAGGTAGGGACATTTGTGCATTGAGCATTCGTTTTGGGGTGGCTGTGAGTTGGTGGTGTTGGGGGGAATGCCAATTCTCTTAGTTTTAGCAAAAAAGGTAGTATTTGTACAATAAACTATGATAAATTAGTTTTCCATGGAAACACAAAATTATTAAGTATGAGAAATTCTTAATTCGCAAAAGGCACAATTACTATAAAAGGTTAATGTGTAAAAGATACATAAAGATATTGTGAAAGGTTTATGAGTTTAGTCTGGAAACAAAACCTGGACGGAAGGACAGAAGTACAGACGCAGCCCATTCAATGTTCCTCCTGTAAGTTTGTACAGAGCAAAATAGAAAAGGAAATGAAATGAAATTGTTCTACTGTTCCTAATGGAAGAAAAATTACTAATTGATTTTAGCGAACGTTTGAAGAGTATTCTCTCAACTTTTCAGCCCAAATAAATTTGTAGGTGTTTTCCGTAACTATAATAGTTTATTGGTCTATTCAGTTGTTAAATATCTCTAAAGAATTAGTACCGGTATTTGTATATTTGATAAAGAGCATCCAATAAAACAATTAAAGTCATATACATGTACGCTATTGTGTTAATTATTAAATAGATTATATATATAGATATATCCAATAGTATGAATTGAACAACTATATACCATTATTAATTGTTTAATCACTATCTAATATTTTCCCACGGGCATCATCAGGACATAACATAACTTTACATAACAATATATATAATAGACTGTTTAATTATTTACCAATCTATAATTTGTATTCAACCCTAGTAGCTCAAAACAAACAGAGCATGAAATCTTAATATTCTTCCATGTTTTAAAACCGTTATTATATATACATGTATATTTAGAAATCTCAGATATAAACGTCTTGATAAAAACAACCAGGTGTCCAACATGTGACTCATATCAAAATTGAAAAAAAAAAAACCCATCTAGTCACTGATCCATGAAAAATGAAAGCAATACGTATGTCTGGTTATTCCTGTCTTGATACCATTTATTTGTGTACATGTCATGTACATGCCCAACCTAATGAAATAACATTTAGAGGTGGTCTTCGGGATTATGACAGCTGTAACATTTGATTTGAAATGAAGAGATAATTGGTATTTTTCACTCATAATTATACTGACGTAGCAATCTCTTGTTGTTTATTGCTTACAATGTCTGTGTAGTTTGTGCCTGGTCAGTTTTGTTTGTGTGTAGTGCAATCTGATTAAAACACAGATCTATTTTGTTTCGCTTTACATAGTTCGAAATTTGGTTTTACTTGTCTACACAACATTAGGATCTGGAAGAGTTGTTACATGTATATAAGCCACATTTTGGTTGATGCGAGGGATTAGCCAATGAAACGGTCTGTTACAGCGAGTTGTTGGCAGGCAGTGCACGGAACTATGAGTAAACCACTAGAAATGTCAACGCTGATTGATTAATCAATGTCTGACGTCATAGCGTCAAAAGCCGCTCATACATGTATGACCCCTGACACGACCTTCCACTACAACCAGGCAGATCTTCATGTAGTGTAGGCCATCAAAAGTATATAAAAAAACAAACAAAATATAGATCTGTATTTTAATCGGATTGGTGTGTAGTGCAGTCCTCCTGCACTTACTATACATGTAGTAACTGGATAGAGAAATAAACTGTATGCTTATGGAAAACAGCCACATTATACCCACATGTATTAATATATTTGGATCAGGTTTAGAAGAGTATTTTTGCCCAAATATATGAGTAGCTGTTTTCCATAGCTAAGTGTGTTATAGTTTATTGTGCTTCGTTACATTGTAGCATACATGTAGGTAGCAATTCTTGCACAGCTACAGCTAGAAGAAAGAAAAACAACTCAACTTACCAAGTGAAGAAGAGAATTCCATATTTGGTACAAGACTATTACCAGGTTTAAAGAACATGCTATCAGGATGGACAGCATAAGATGTAGATGTCCAGCGCAATAAGTGATCATCTTGTTGAGTTAATACGTTAAATAATTCTGGGATAGGATCACTCAAATCTTCAATAGAGCTAGTTTTACGTGGGGTGTCATGAGGATCTTGTTTGGCACATAAACCTGTAAAATAGACAGAGAAATGGGGTTTAACATCCACTCAACACAAACTAGGTCAATACGGGACTAACATATGGTTCAATTTTGATTCAATAATTGGTTAGCGCATAGGGATCTTTAGCAGTGGGGAGGAAACTGGAGGACATAGAGAAAAACAATGAATTCTAGGTTTAGGATGTAACACTACCCCTTGGGTTTCAAATCCACGACATGCCACTTAAAGTACACGCTGTAGATCACTCGACCACTCGCACCTTTTCTAGTATTTTCTATAAGCTTACATTTTATATGTACATATCCTCTATCTAAATTTTCACCACATTTTGCATTTCATTTCTATTTTATTTTTGAATTGTTTGTTATTGGTTTCAACAAGCCATTATTCATGCTTCCAAGAGAAACATTCACAAGTGATTTAAAATCAAAATTATACTAACCTACACAATCACAGCATTCTGTGTAAAGTTTAGACAAACAGACTTGACAATCTTGACAACAGCTACAGTTTTTCTTGTCACTCATGTCACATTCACAGCATTTAATCAACATGCACTTGCTGACCTGGGAAGCACAGATTGCCTCATTACATGCTTCAGCTGTCAACACAACTGCCAACACAGTAAATGCGGCAAGAAGTATACTTGAGGATATCTTCATGGTGAGACCTAGAAAGAAATAATCCAGATTATAACAAATTAATAGATGGCTCGGTTCCTAAAGATTCTAATCAGAAATATTTTCTAATCAATCAATAAATTACCACTGATCGACCTCAATAACCTAATGTGTTCAATATAACAACAATACAAAGATTATGACCATTAGTAAAAAATCAATGACTGAAAATAATGTCTTTCTCTTCTTATCAAAACAAGTACAAAACATTATTGAATGGTTCATTATTTTACAGTATCTATATGGATTTTATTATACCTTATCTAATGACAAACATGTGAAACAATAAAATTCAATAGCACTAAATGAAAAACAAATTTAGTAGTACTGGTACATCTTTTGCTTCATGATACACAGTAGTACATTTAGCAGAGATAACTCTGGTCAAAAATAATGATTTTTTTTTATGCGAGTCATGTTATTTAACAAAATTGTATCTGTAATCAGATGATAAATGTACCTGTTAGCAAGGTATTAGAAAATTAAATGAAATAGAGTTTAACATCCTACTGTCCTCCTAACTGGGTTAATGAAGATGGGCATACAACATACAGTGTGCTACATGTATATGAGGGAAATTTTGCCTGGATAGAGGCACTACATGTACATCCTACTCTTATTTCAAATTCAGAAGGTTCTTTTACGCACAAGCCAGTGGGAACATGGGACCTTGGTTTTTCATTCCATCTAATGATCCAAATGACATTATGTTAACCCTTGCCAGGCCCTCTGTCCTGCACCACTGAATGGGAGAAGCACACTCAAAAAATCCTGATGAACTTTCATGGCCAACACCAGTCTTACTCACTGAGCCACTGTTGCTCCCCGCAAAGTATTAGATATTGAATTTCAATACATAAAAAGGCTAGTATAAATTCAAAGGCCATCAGATGATAACTTTTGCCTCTAGAGTGTCTACAAGATTTTTCTAAGTGATAAAGGGTCAAACTCTCACATTAATTATTGGAAATCATTAAAAAAAAATCGGCTTTGTTTCATGCCTATTAACATAATAAATATTTAGCAAAACATTCTTGACATTATATGCTACTCGACAGTACCAACCCATGAACTCTGAAAAGTTTATTGTTTTCATTCTAGAATGCTTTATCTGCAATTAATATCTGCACAAAAGGAATGATATCATTTAATGTGATGCAGGATGGGTTGTTTCCACCTAGGCTTTTTGGATAGGACTGTTTCATTCCCGGTTGTTTCATCTCTTCACTGATTTATACAAATATTTATGTAACTTATTTTGAAATAAACTGTGAAAACACTAATCATCTTAATTGTTTCATAAAAAGAAGCTGGATTAATAATGAAAACATTTAATTAACTCAACTGATCGTTGAGAATTGAATTGTTATATAATCATAATCAATAAAATGAAACCAGATAAAGTAAAAATATTTGATTAATTTTTTCACCTTAAGTTTTAAGCATCATCTACATGTACATGTACCTAATATCATCCAAACTGGGATAATTACGAGTGGATCTTCATAATATATATCATCATGATCAAGCTCTGTAATTTGCATTCATCATAGTATGGATTCTCTCAACAAAAACCAGACAAATCAATTTTCATTTATTATAAATTACCGGAGATTTCATAAAATGTTGATTTTTAAGAAAACAGCGTAACTGTCCCAAAACATCACAAAAGTGCGCCATTTTGATCAGGATACCTGCGGCAGGAGGTCCGTGGAATGCACTACGGCCTTTGAAAAATAAGCTTACATTTTTCTTGGTGGATTAAAAAAGTCTTAAATTTGCACCCTCAGTTCAGAATATGATATGATTGAAATTAATGATGTTGTAAATATTAATGTAATTCCTAGATTATTGGCTAATTGGCTTATGGTTCTAAACTCTAGTTACAATTACATGTACATGTACGTATACTGACAGTCACATAGAAATGATTCCACTACTAATGTCATCTGCCTTACTCCAACCACAGTAGTGGCTCGTCCTACGGAGTTCCTTTGCGCAAGTCTTTTAGTCAAATGACTACAAAAAGATTACAGGCCTATAGCTCCCTTAATTTACACATAAACTGACCCAAAACTGTACTGTACATACATGTAGCTTAACATATAATAAACCAATTCAAATTGAAATAAAGTGAAGCCTTACCGCATAATTATATGATATGATATGAAACCCAACTGCTCCGCGAAACTTCTCGCCCACCAAACTTTTTTCAACTGGCCGGTGTCATGGCGGCTTTCACATTATAAGAAACATCGCTTTGAAAATGGAGAACGCATTACCACAAAGAAAAACTGTTTGGTAACTATTTTAGTCGTCCAGTCTTCACTATTTCAACTATAAATAAGCTTATTTGTGATAGAATTACTTATTTCAATACAAACTGTAATGATATGTGTTGACAATTGTGCGTTTGAACCTATTTGAACTTGCGTAAGGAGTCTTAGACTGTCTCAATTGTAGCGTTAAACAGTTTAACGATACATAATTGTAGTTAACAGTAACAGTCACACAGTGACAGCTCAAGACTGCACTTTTGTCTAACTCTCCTCACTGACTCGGTGAGCAGTCAACTTTTTTAACGCAAAGATTGTGCAATTATTCAGCCTAAAACGGAACACTTTTATAAACATTACTGGACACAAACTAAAAGATTGCAATATCATCTCAATATAAATATAGAATTTACCTTCTTCACCTCTTTTAGAAAGTTTTTGTAACTTATTTTATCAATAAAATAGACAAAACAAATGTGGGGAAACCAGTGGCGCCGTGTAGCCTAAGGCAAGGGGAGGTCACTCACAGAACATTCTTTAATTTACAGTACTTCCGATGTAAATAATATAATGACGATGTTGCGATGACATAATAATTTGTTATTCTGTATGGTTTCTTTGCGTGAATTCGCCAAGAAGGAATACTCTTCGATTGATCGACTTTTTAAAGAATTTGAGATATCTTCAAATTCTTAGATACTGTTTAGTCAGCATTTTTTTCAGCCAGTCAAACATCACTGACAGTCTGAGTCTAGCTGGCACGACCGTAGACATCACATTCACAATCACAGTACACGAAATGGCTGTTCAGTTGCCCAGCCATAATCCCAATCATCAAATTCAAGGCGAAACCAATTTCACCGTCAGTGACAACGAAAGTGCAGATCAGTTTACTTGCTCTATTTGTCTGGAAATATTTCTTGATCCAGTCAAAATTACTTGTGGTAATGACCATGTGTAAGTGTTATTTTTTGCCAAGTTTTAGTGTCGTTGCAGTTGCATGTAGCCTATGACAGTGAGTGACACCTTGACCTTGTATACAGGAGTAATACTGGGTGGAATCGTAACCAGTGACTATTGTTACCAAACTGTCTTGTCACCAGTTTTGAAATATTATACTCAACTTTAAGAATTCGACTCGTAACAAATTTTAAGGAAGTAGCCTACATCATAAATATACTGTAGTCTCATATTAGTCATATACTATTCAAAAAAAGTAGGGGATATTTGATTTTTAAGTGTTATTAAAGTCACCTAATGAAACTGACGAAGAAACAAATGACAAAATGAAATGAAGTTCACATTCATCGATTTATTCCAAATGATCGTTAGACTAAGTAAGGCACAGACTGACCATTATAAGGGTAAAATGATACCCGGGGTCAAACAGCAAAGTTACCACAGCATCACAACCAAGTCAGTAACGGGTAAATCCTCCTCTGTTTGCCAAACAAGCATTGATCCGACGTGGCATACTCCTAATGAGACGTCTAAGGTCATTTTGGTCCAGATTGTCCCATTCCTGTTGCAACGCAGCAGCAAGTTCTTGGACATTGGCAGGATGTTGTTGACGTTGACGTAACCTCTGTCCAAGCATGTCCCAGACATGCTCGATGGGGGAGAGGTCGGGACTCAGTGCTGGCCAAGGTAATGTGGTGATGTTCTGTTGTTGGAGGTAACCTGTAACGATCCTGGCCCTGTGACATCTTGCGTTGTCATCCTGGAAGATGAAACTGTGGCCATGACGTCGTGCGAACGGCACAACATGGACTGCCAAGATGTTGTCCCGGTAGTACTGGCCTGTAACACGCCCTGCAACAACATGTAAAGCCGTTCTTCCAGCAACAGTGATGCCTCCCCACACCATAACAGAACCACCCCCAAATCGATCATGTCTGATGACGTTAACGTCTTGGAAGCGCTCGTTTCGACGACGCTACACCCTCCTACGTCTGTCCAAAAAATCAACAGTGAACCTTGACTCATCTGAAAACATCACATTGCTCCAGCGTCGATTATCCCAGTGTTGACGATCCCTACACCAACGACGTCTTGCCTGAATGTGATGATCTCTCAAACAAGGGATCACGCGAGGACGTCGGGCGCGAAGGTGACCCCTATGCAGTCGATTCCGAATCGTCTGGCCACTCACTCTCACACCAGTGTCTGTTTGAAGACGAGCGCTGATCTGATTTGCTGTGATGACACGATTTCTCAAGGCCAAGGTACGGATAAATCGATCCTGGGCTTGAGTTGTCGCCCTTGGTCGACCTGAGCGTGGTCTGTCCTGTACAGATTGTGTATCACGGTATCTGGACCATAGCCTGCTTATGACAGACTGAGAAACATTCATCGTCCGCGCCACAACCGCCTGTGTTGTGCCGATCTGTAGCATGCCAAGGGCACGTAACCTTTCATTTTGGGTAAGCCGACGCATATCAAAATTTGTTTTCTGGTCACTAAAACAATTAAACTGATGTTTCCACCCTGGAATTCAATGCCACAATGACTGTAACATTCAAAGTCAGAGTCGTGCAAATCTTGGGTTGGACCCCCATGATGATCCCAAGCATCACCTGCATTCCATGCGGTAGCTATTGGTGCGTTTGGGCGTCACATGTAACTGGAAATGTTTCTTCTGTTAGGTTCTATAGTGACTTTTTTCGTAGTCATTTGCATATTTTAGTATTATGCCCCCAAAATCAAATATCCCCTACTTTTTTTGAATAGTATAATTCATAATCAGTTTCCTTAATCGCACAACCCAAAACAACCCCAAAGTTGACTTAAAGTAGCTAAGTCTCTAACTCAATATCATCCAAAGTCTTCGACATTGAAAACACAAATTATTTGTCAATTTAAATCAACATTGTTGTTGTTATTGTATTGTGAAATGATGGGCTTCTGATATCCAATATTTAAGACAAAATAAACATTTTACTATTGGTACACGAATCGTGTACCATAATGCGTTTCAGCGCCATGTGTAATAAGGGACTTGAAGGACGAGGCTAAACATATTCCACAAGTCACGTCAAACAGTGAGGCCATTCTTATCTGGTTAGCATGCGCAATGAATACTATCAGTGTAGACTGAAATAACCAGACGCTAGAGATTACCATTCGATTGACACTTCTGGCGTATTTCGCTGAACATAACTGATTTTTCAGGACCATAATTCTGTTTGCTGTATTTTCTTTATGACATGTGTAACAAATGGTAACAAATGTATAAATGGAACAGATACTGTTGGATTTTTTTAAATTCCATGTTTATTTTATAACACGTGTGCAATGTGGAAATTCTGTTTAATTGTTTCATTAGTATGGGGAATTACAGAATTTAAAGGGTAACAAGGCACTGGTGAAACCTGTCATCACTGCATTGCAATTCTTCTAGTTATAATCATAACCATAGAACTAAAGTCATAACGAAACAGTGTGCATGCCAGGTAACCACAGACACTGCTAAGGGACATAACTCGTTAATACCATCTGCTTAGTCGTGAGTGACTGTCTCATATTACTGCGCAACACCTAACACTGGTTAGGTCATTTTAGGCTGTTACCACCAGTCCATGTATTATAAGGTTCATGACTAAATATTTATTGGTGTAAACTTATATTACATGTACATCAGTGGGGTTTGGTGGTCGAGTGGTCTAATGTGTATACTTTAAAGGCTCAATACCACTCTTGTTGTAACTGAATAATATGTCCCAATCTTTATTCTGGTCAACAAATTGCACTATTTTACAATATTCCAATTAATTGGTGATACAAATTTCATCTTAACACACCTAATTTAAAAAATTGGAAAAATTCAACTAAATGATTTGAAAAGCCTGACGTAAAGAGTTTCAAATGTGACTTGGATTTAAAAATATTTTTGAACCCTTTTGGACAAGTAAAATAGGATGTAATGGATAATTTACACAACAGGTAGGACACTAACACATCTGGTACTTAGAATAAGGCTATTTTTATTTTCTGGAGCTGTCAAGCCAGCAAGAGTGTTATTGTCCCTTTAAATCATAAAGTCTGTCGTTTCGATACCAAGCTTGTACGGGACTTAAAGAAGTAGCGTCGTCTGTACAACCATTCATACTATAAACTAATAAGCATTATTCACAACAAAATGAAGCCCTCTACACCAATACAGCCATTTTGATTGGTTGATAAAATCACATGCCCGAACACTAACCTGAATGAAAAATATATCTGATGTCAGTGAGGTACAAAAAAATAAGAATTAAACGCAATTGCAATGTGATTTTAATCAGATTTTTTAGGGTCTAGATTTTTTTGTGACTCGGGGGACCACCATCAATTTTACATTAAGAAGATTATTGGATTGGGGATGACTGAGCACCGCTGGTAAAGGGGATCCAGCTTGAAAATTCTGAGCAACTTTCCTGGCAAATTTGAATGTTGAACTTGGGACCCCCTGGTTAGTGAGCCAATGCAATACTCTCTGAGCCATGACTCTCGATTATTATTAAATAGTGCAGCATATTAGTATGTATTGTAAATTTACTGTAAGAGAGTTCTACTATTCTGGTTGTGGTCAATATTTTAGCATTACACCCCAACTCATATAAAAGTATTCTTAATGCAATCAAAGTATCTTATTTGTTTGTTTAGATATTGTGCTGGATGTTTACAAAGCTATCAGAATCTAGCAGAACCTCAATGTCCTCAGTGTAGAAACATATTTAATCCTAGTCTTTCACGCAAAGCATCAGATATACATAGGAAGCTAAAAAGTAAAAAAGCTGATTGCAAATGGTGTCAGAAAAAAGTAAGTAACTTTCCTTCTGTAAATTAAAGTTGTGAGTAAAGTCAGAATTTCATTCCATCGAGCTATTTTGGAAACAAAAAGACAATATCCCATGGCCTTGTGTACCAAAAACTGAAATGTGCAGTTTCCATGGAAACACAAAAATGAGCAAATCGTAACAACAACAACCACAATAGTTTGATGTGTGTTCAAAGTGTCACAAAGATATCTTAAATGATTTATGAGGCATGCTCCAGAAATAAAACAGGGACGGATGACAGAGCCCATTTGAATATCACTAACTTCGTTCAATGTGGGATAATAAATTTTATAAAGGAACAAATTGCCTGAATGTTTATGTTCTGCTTACTCATTGTAGATGACACTGAATAAAATTCGAGAGCATTTGGGTGTGTGTGATAGAGTTGACAGATCTATACCTCAATTTAAGCCAGTTAGAGAAACCTCACAGCCTATTCCAAGGTAAACTTTGATAGTTTGTATATCATCACTACTTTATCCTGGTGTTAAAGCAGGAGTGTCACATAGCCATGAATCTGGTAAAGTGCGTACTGTATTGTACGGGAAGGGGGTTGGGTGGCCGAATGCTTAATGCGTGCACGTTGACTCATAAGGTCTGTCATTGAGTCAAGTGGCATAGTTTTGATTTCCCGCTTGTATGAAACAAGGAGTAGGGTCGCCCGTCCAACCTTGTGTGTTTTCTCCGGGTAATTCGGTTTCCTCCCACTGCTAAAGATCCCAACGCGCAAGCTAATTATTGAAATGAAATTAAAGCATATACATAGCTAACAATTGTACTTTAAACCCTGTTTCTCTCTCTCTGTGAAGGAACTGATTGGAGTGGAATGCGGTTTACTGTCTCATAGACACAAAACTTCAGTCATTTTGAGATTTCAGACTAACATACCGCTATATTTTTCTCTTGTCATTTTGGTGATTCCACACACTTTACATTGTATTCTATCAAGGGATCTTTTATGTGCACACCAATATGTTTATGGGGAGAGGGGGTACCTGTTTTTTTCCGCATCCACTAAATGACTAGGTAACACTTTATTTGCCGGCCCCCAAAATGCTACCCGGTCCACGCCAGGATTTGAACCCAGGACATAGGGTTAATCTATTAAATTGTGGTACATGTACAATGTGCAGGACAGGATATAGATTATGTATTACGGTATATACTGGTGTGGGAGCTACGATGGCTCAGAGAGTAAGATTTTGGCTCGCTAACCTGAGGGTCCCGTGTTCAATCCACATTTTGGCTGAGAAAGTTCATCTGGATTTTCCAGCATGGCCCTCTGTGTCGTGGTGAAGAGACAGGGTATAGTCTTTAGGATGGGATGATAAATTGAGTTCCCTAATACAGGGTATAGTCTTTAGGATGGGATGATAAATTGAGGTCCCTCATACATATTTAGCACAGTGTATAGCGTATGCTAATCCTTATTAGCCCAGTCGATTCAGAACATTTCACATATATGTGTCAAATTGTAAACTTCAATAAACATATACTGGGAAGCAAGAAGATCTTAAGAATTCAATTTTTCACTGTCTCATATGATTATTTTGGATGTAACTATAATAAAATCACAATCACTCTTGGAACTATGATTATGTTTGTTCATAAACTATGCAATATTTTTTTGGTTTGTAGCAATGTTCCAAACAGAGCCACATTTAAATGTCCGTATTGTGGTCAGCCTAACCTAGATGTTCCAGGAATGGTCAAACATTGTAATGATAATCACAGACAGAGTGCCCCACAAGTTGTAAGTACATGTTGAAGATTTAATCAATAACTAGATATATAGCTTCTTGACAATGGTGTCGATTCCCAGTTTATACCTTCCTCAGTATCCCCGGTGGTCTCATTCCGTTCTATGCTACTAACCCCTGGGTTAATCTATAGGGGGCACGTTTTCAAGTTATCTGCCCTGGATGATTGTGCTATTTTTATCAACCAATCCCATAAGTCGTTAATTGCAAAGGAAGTTGGCAAAGGGAAGTAACTCTCATCAGGTAAAGTAAGCAAAAAGCAAAGGTTTCCCTTTAAGAGACAAGGTTAGGAATTAGCCAGAAGGTAGCCTAAATGAGAGAAGTCCAAATTATACTAAATGCATATTTATTAACAACAAATTACAATTATTATATAGTGTATTAATGAAGATCGGATAGATACTACATATTTTGATAATACATGACAAGGAGTAGGATTGCCTGTCCAACCTCATGAGTTTTCTACGGTTTCCTCCATTTGAACCATTATGTTAGTTCCAAAATGACATACCTTGTGTCTAATGGACATTAACCCCCATTTCTCTACATATCTCTTGGCAATGGAGAAAGTGACCAAATACTATTCTGTATTTAGTCCTTGTATATATTATTTTAAAATGTCCCTGTGTCTTTCTTGTTTGATCATAAAGTCTGTCATTGAGTCAGTTGGCATGGTTTCGATTCCCTGGTTGTATGTGACAAGGAGTAGGGTCACCTGTCCAACCTCGTGGGTTTTCTCTGTGTCCTCCGGTTTCCTCCCACTGCTAAAGACCCCTACACGCAAGCGAATTATTAAAAAATAAAATTGAACCATGTGTTAGTCCAGAAATGACCTAGTTTGTGTCGAGTGGAGTCAGTGGATGTTAAACCCCATTTTTCTCTTTCTTGTTTGACAGTAGCATAGTAAGTACTGTTCGTGTACCTTTTGCACAGTTGTGGGTTTTACAATCAAGGTCTGGTTGAAATTATTCTGTGGGTTGATTTTGTATTACTGATACTTATTGGTGATGCCAGCTTGTTTTATTTCATTTGCAGAGGATGCTGAATGTTAACAAATTTTCATTCATGATATCTTTATAAAATACTGAAGGAATTGAACATTTTTTGCTGCAGATATTCCTTTTACAGTTTCACCTTTCACAAAATTGTAATTTTCAAGGGATTAAAGATCCCTCAAATGAGATCAGAGACTTTAATAGTGACTGTAGACTTTAGAAATGTATTTAGTTATGAAATAAATCCAGACTTATTTTCTGTTAATCGTAGGTGTGTCCTATATGTGCCTCGATGCCGTGGGGTGATGCTAACCATACCAGTACTAATTTTATACAGCATCTTAATCTAAGACATCGATTTGAATATGATACTTATGTGGTAAGTACATGTTGTATAGCATGTTGAATATGATACTTATATGGTAAGTACATGTTGTATGGCATGTTGAATATGATAGTTATGTGGTAAGTACATGTTGTATGGCTTGTTAAATATGATACTTATGTTGTATATGGAATGTCAGTCAGAGAAGAACAATAGGACGTTAAATCCCATTTTATATGGAATGTTTCAGGATAAAAATTGCTGCAGATTAATTAAGGGCCCACTATTTCAGACTAAAAGACAAATACATTGTAGAGACTTTCAGTTCATACATAATAAAAAGTATTATTATTATTACAAAACACATTGAAAGTTCCCATCCTTTCTGTTGATTTTATAATATTATCATATTCTGTCATAGAATGTCATCCAACTAATGAAGAATAACTGTTGTTTTTTGTTCATGAACATCAAGGTCATGATAGTATTATAACCTAGGTTACTATGTAAAGAATATCTTTCAGCTTAAATATTTGCTTAAATAAATAAAATTAGTTGATGTCCACAGTAGAATAATTGTGTCTTGCAATTAATAATTGTATTTTTAGACCGGGATGTAGATAAACCCAATCCCACTCCCCCATCCCTTATTTGGTCATCCCTGTTTAGAATTATATTAGAATGTAAATATTGGCTAGACAAACCAAATCCCTTCCCCAATCCCTTATTTGGTCATCCCCGTTTAGAATTATTGATATATTAGAATTTAGATATTGGCTAGACAAACCAAATCCCATCCCTTATTTGGTCATTCCCGTTTAGAATTATCGATATAATAGAATTTAAATATTGGCTAGACAAACCAAATCCCATCCCTTATTTGGTCATCCCCGTTTAGAATTATTGATATACTATAATAAAAATATTGGCTAGATAAACCAAATCCCTCCCCCATCCCTTATTTGGTCATTCCTGTTTAGAATTATTGATATTTTAAAACGTAAATTATTTACCACTGGTCTATTTTCAGGATTATAATCAAGATGATGATGCTATGCTACAAGCTGCATTACAGGCTTCCATGGCAACACAATAATTAACTTTGATTTCATATATCTTAAGCAAGATCTTTATTTATTAAACACTGTGATATAACTATTAATGTCTTTAGTGAAATGCTTGTTAGAATGTTATACAATGATGTGCCATAGTTTTGATGGCTTCAATACATGTATAGATAGATATATATGACTTTTATGGCCACCGATCACCATTTGCATCTTTAGGAAAATGTTAATTTTTCCCAGCTTATTCCATGCTTAAATTTAAGGAAATTGATTGTTTAAAGATTATTGAAGAAAACAAATATAGATAATCTCCTGGTTTGGATTCAATTGGATTAAAAGGTGGTGCTGGCTTGTTTATATCGTCTGCAAACAATGCTGAATGACTAAATTTATAATACCCTTGTAAATACTGAATAGAGTTGAACCATTTTACGACTGATATTTCTTATAGAGATTCAATTTTCACGATTTGTACTACTTGTAGCGAAATCCACCAACCGTGAAACAACTTACCCGTCAGTCAATTTCTTTGCTATAAAATTAAAATTTTATGTGTAAAATTTGGCGGAAAAAGTATATGGTTTATAAATTGAAATAAAAAATTGTGTAAATGTGTCAAATCTGAGGTAAAGAAAGTATATAAAAATTTTGACGTGGAAGCTATGAGTGATTACATCCATTATAGCAGATGCCAGTATGACATAGTGAAACCCATATTTATGGCAGGGAGCCACAGTGGCTCAGTGAAAAGGCACTGGTTCGCTAGACTGGAGGACGTGGGTTTTCGCTCCCGATGTGGGCTGAGAAAGTTCATCAAGATTTTCCGGCGTTGTTTCCCCTTGTTATTGGTGCGGGACGGAGGGCCTGAAAGGACAGCTGTCTGGTGGTCTGGATGGAATGGAAAACAGATGGCCTGTGCACACATTGGCATGTGCATAATGATCCCTTGACAGTTGGAATTCTGTATATGAGTAAGCCTCGGTGCCGCTGTCTGATCAAAATTTTCTTCGTAGCACACTGTATGGCGTATGTCCATCTTCATTAGCCCAGTTGGAGCAGAACAATAGGACGTTAAACTCCATTTCATTTAATTTATTTATGATATAGGAGACTGACTATGGCACAGGTGAAGCATTGTTTAATAATTGTAATATGTAGAGTAGAGTAAAGTAGAGCACTCAATTGTTCATGTATGATAAATTGGGGTAAATTTTGATACTCAGATTACATCTAGGGCCTTATTTATGAAAATTTAAACTAAACTATTTCAAGGATGCAGCCTTATCATTGCTTGAACATGCTATAACAGATTTTTACTCTCAGTCAGCGAAAAGCCAGGCCCCGAGTCCACAAAACATTCTCAGATTTAAGTTAAGAATTTACTCAACTTTCAATCACTGTTTATGAGAAATATCTTTGATCCAGAAACACAAAACTTTGCAGTGCACATAGTTTCTTATTGATGTATTTGATATATTAAAACAACAAAAGTTTTATAGATGATTCAATCTGATTAAAACACAGAACCTATATCGTTTAGTTTTTTATAGTTCAAAATTTCATTTTACTTGTCTTTACTACACTAGGTTCAAGGAGTGTTGTTATATAACTCGCATTCTGGATGATGTGAGGGATTAGCCAAAGAAAAGGTCTGTTACGGGGAGTTTTTGGCGTGAGGTGCACGGAACTGTGGGTTACCCACTAGAAACATCAACCCTCTTCGTTAATCAAACGTCTGACATCATAGGGTCAAAAGTCACTCATATGACCTCTGACGCAACTATCCACTATAACCGGGCAGATCTTCATATAGTGGAGGCTTTCAAAGGTATAAAAAAAAAATTGAAACGAAATATAGATCTGTATTTTAATCAGATTGGTTAAAATAAGGCGAATGATTTTGAGTAAATTCTTAAGTTAAGTTTGAGAATGCTTTGTTAACTCGGGGCCAGCATTCTTAAATTAGCTTAGTTTAAGTTTTCATGAATAAATCCCTAGATGATTGATTACAGCTGATTCCGATTACTTATTTGATTTATTGTTTTGTATATTGCTTTCTGTCCATATTGTATAATGTTATATGTATTTGTTCAGTTTGGTTGAAGTTTCTGCTGAAGATTGATATTGTTCTCTTTATGACCTAGTACTGTTTCCATGGTGATATTGTTCTCTTTATGACCTAGTATTGTTTCCATGGTGATATTGTTCTCTTTATGACCATATAATTAGTTATATGACCTAATATTGTTTACAATATCACCATGGAAACAATACTAGGTGTGTTGAAATACTTGAGACCAATTTTTGAGAATTACCCGGTTCAGACTAATTATGCAAGTTGATTAAAGTTTGAATTACTTCTATGTCCACTTCTCTAGGTACCGATAGACTTGATTATCCTTGTCTTAACATTATCCCTAGAATTCACGATTGTCAACCCTTTTAAGAACTGGTGGTCAGGAGGCATATAACATCTACCCCATGTAGGTACTCTCCATATTTCTGCTGCAAATTCATGCAAACAAAACAGAATAATCATTCTCAAGCTAGATCTTGTTTTGGAGGAAAAAGTTAAAAATGTTTGAATTTGTCTACAAATGTGTTCATGAGATCTGTGTTTTTGTTTTATTTCGAACGACTGGCTAAATGCATAGAGGTTGGTCCCCGAAATTTTATTTTTTTTATATTATTATTTCAAAACTTTAAAAGCCATGGTTTGGGATCATTGTGTGATTCAAACGTTAATGACCATTTTCAGCTTACACTTACTATAGTGTATGTGTAAATATAAGCTTTAGTTGGAGTGGGGGTGGAAGGCCGAATGGTTAGCGTGTGCACGTTGTATCATAAAGTCTGTCATTGAGTAAACTGGCGTAGGGCCGCCTGTCTAACCTCGTGGGTTTTCCCCGGGTCCTCCGGTTTACTCCCATTGCTAAAGACCCCTTCGCACAAGCGAATTATTAAAATAAAATAGAACCATATGTTAGTCCCGAAATGACCTGGTTTGTGTTGAGTGGACGTTAGACCCATATTAGCTTTAGTGATGATTTTTTACAGGACAAAGTCCTAATCGTCGTCTGGATAATTTTATTTTTTTACATTTCTTTTGTCTCATGTTATCATCATCGTAGTGAAAACAATTGATTAAATTAATTATATGATTTATTAACAATGATTAATGAGCTTCTAATGCTCATTACCATTTCTTCGGGATTATGGTGGTAATAAGATCTGTTTGATTCAAAAGACTAATTCAGAGTAGGTTACACTGAGAACTAGATGAGAGGAGAGGGGGCGGGGGCTACAAAACATTCCAAAAGATGGTATGCAAACTACTAATTGAGGCTGGTCCCCCCCCCATTCTAATCCTATTGTAACAATAGAATGGGGCACAGTGATCTGCTCCCACTGAGATTTTGTATCGTGTGTGATGGTCACACCCCAACTGACACTGGCAAAATTTGAAACAGGAAAGCTACCTACAAGATGGTTCCCATAGAAAGACCAACTGAAATGTATAATTTAAGTATTTAAGACCTGTTAGAGTCAGAAATGGTCTAACATGCATTTATAATTATTAATAATTTTGTATACATATTATATATCATTCATTAGACTTTGTAAACAAGTATATATTTTCCCCAAGAAATGGGAAGCAGAACTATAACAGCTGTTTCCAAGAACTAATATTTATAATTATAATAGAATATCCATGTACTGATTAGAGCAAAGCACTTTGCAGAAACATAGTGTATGTTAAACTTAAACTGTTTTTATACGCTCACATTTATATGTTTTTTTTCTTTCAATTGAAGATAGATATATTCAAGCTCCATGAACCAGTCAGTTTCCCACCCATCTGATTGATGCCAAGATGTAATTATTTCTGTTGATCATGTTCTTTTTCCAGGAAATACTCCAAATCAAGCTTGTTGTGGGTGGAGTTTTGCAAATTTTTCTGGCAGAAACTCCCTCTGCACATTCAAAATCTTTGCCCTGCCATTGTTTAGAATACAAAAATTATCTTGAAGAATTGAGACACACACAAATAGTTAAGTATTTGTTAATTTTGTTTTGTGAAAGTATAATATAGTTAATGTATATAATATGTACCAGCAGTACTCTATAAGTGTAACTTTATTAATAAATGCAACAAATACTGTAATGGTATATTGATATAATATATAGAATGTGAAAATGCTTTTGTATGTTTTACACAAAATAGACCAGATAAACAGATTTTTATTTATCGAGTTGTAAAAAATGTGAAATAAATAGCATTGAAAACAGTTTGTCGTAGGATTATGGGGGATTGGGTGACTGAATGGTTTAACATGTGTTTGTTATTGAGTCAAGTAGTGTGTTTTCGATACCCCAGTTGTGTGTGACAAGGAGTAAGATTGCCTGCCAACCTCGTGGGTTCTCTGGGTCCTCTGGTTTTCTCCCATTGTTAAAGACCCCTACGCACAAGTGAATTATTCAAATTTAATTGAACCATATTTATGTTAATCCCGAAATGATCTAGTTTATGTGGAGTGGACATTAAACCTCATTTCTCTCTCAGGGTGGAAATAGTTGTCTCACTGTGTAATGTGAGCAAGGCTTCAACACAGATCCAAAAGAGCACATTTCCTGTATCCAAAGCATAGTGAGACGAACACTGTTACTTGACAACCCCCTCAAATTAAAGGTTAAATGCATAGCAAGGCCTACTTAAGAAATTTAAATTAAAATATGAAATAAGTAAAAGAAATGTCTATGATTTTATGATCATGTGATATTTTAGAACATAACCTAATTCCTTTTTATTTTGGGAAGGGGAATGGGGAGTCTGTCATTAGTCAAGTGGCGTGGTTTTAATTCCTTGCTTTTACGTGACAGGTAGTAGGGTTGCCTTACTAGCCAAGTGGGTTTTCTGTGGGTCCACCCACTGCTAAAGATCCCTACGAACAAGCGAATTACTGAAATAAAATTGCACCATATGTTAGTCCCGAAATGACCTTGTTTGTGTTAAGTGGACATTTACCCCCCCTCTCTCTCTCTCTCTCTCTCTCTTTCTCTCTTTCTTTTTATTTTGTGTATTTTTGCCAGTGAAAAAAAAATACTAACCTATATATAAAATATAAACAGTAACAAACCAGAAACAACACCAAGCAGTGAATAGAGTTTTTCTGAGATTCAATACACATCATTTGGAACAAACAATGAGATGAAGGATAAAACAATGAAAAACTAATTGAAAATTCTTAATTAACCTTTAATATTTTAATTAATATTTTTAATTTGGCATCCGACAAAGCAGATATTCTGTGGTGCCCCCATTACCGTGATGCGTGTTTGTTTTGCTTAATCCAGCACTGCTACTCAGCCCCGTTCCAAAAATTATGTTATGTTTATGCCGAAATTGAATACAACAAATAATATTAATTATTTTTTTGATCTAAATACAGAATGTAGATTAAACAGAAAAATACAATTTCAAATCACGAAATTCTTGCTGGATGTATATCAGGTATAAAATTGTTGTTCAGTAAACTTCAATCAGATTAGTAAACTCGAAAAGTCCAATTCCTCACTCAATAAAGCCGCCTTCATTCTTGAAATGTTCAACAGTGCCTCAGTGCATTTAATTCGTTTCAAATGATATATCATACAATTGCAAATACAACATTTAAATCAAGATATAATATTAATATAAATTCATAAAATAAATAAATTTTTCGGGAATTATTTTTTTAAATTTCTTTTGTACATCTAACGGCATATGAGTTTGATTCAGGGCTAACCGTGCAGAGTTATATGCCCGTTATATCACCAAGGATACCGTATGTAATATGGCGTATTGCGTTTCACGTGCGACAATGGAAAAAATGTTCAGACTTGTACATACCCGATATGCTTGCATAATATACACTAAGTGGTTTAAACAAATCGTATATATCAAAATGCGAATTGATACAATTGGACATATTTTATAATATTCATTCATCACAGGGATAAATCTTGCAATTTATTTTGGGAGCTTCATTTCAATTTTATATGTAAAAATCTACCCGGTATATTGTGTATTTCGTAGATTCATATAAGCACCATTTCCGCACATGGAGATCAGAAGAGAAAACTGATGATGTTTGAATATTTTCAAACTAATTTATGTGGACTTCTTGCAAAAAGGAGTTAATTCTAAACTAAAGAGGCAAGCAATCAAAATCTGAGATGACGATGATTAGTTTCCTACATTGCTAGCTGGATAATAATGTCAGGATAGCGGCATTACCAACTGTCAAGGAATCGTACGTCGGTCGTACTCTGGTTTTCGTTTCATCTGAACAACTTGGCGCACTTTGATATCAGCCCTTGAATTGCCGCCCCAAACAAATAAAGGCCGGCCTAGAAAATTCCAGTGTCCCGACAGCACGGCGTTCAAAGGCCACGGGAGTACCCAGGGCAATGATTCAGCTTAAAATCTACAAAGACATAAATTCCAGTTAAAAATGTAATAATCTGATGTTAAAATTATCAATAAGTGATTTTTTAACATTTATTTTACCCCTAAAATTAACGTTAAGCAGGCTTTTGCCACAGTTCTATTTAACATTTCTATAAAAGAAATTTTAAAGACATTGCTCTGAGTTATTAAGAATTTATTTTTGTAAATTTATTCAATCAAAAATAAAAATAAGATACACATTTTGTAGAAAAGAAGCCAAAAAGAAACACAGACTTAAATTATCTTTCGGAATTTCTTTGCCTAGAATAATGGTGTTACGTCATATTAATTAACGTTTTCCATGACGTCCGCGCTTTAATTATATAAGTATAAGATAGGCTTAGCGCGAGTTTTGTTTCGATATCTTCCTGTCTCTATCCACCACGTGAGTACATGTAATTACTTCAAATTTGAGTATATTCCTTTTTCTTTGCGTTTCAATTGTTTATTTATTTTTTAAAAATCAAATCTAGTTGTTAATAATTTCTGTTTAAATGAAATTAGATAATTCAATAGCGGTTAAATCATATTTGATAAGATTTGGGTCTAACAATATATTTCATATTATGCCCAAGTGATATTGTTGAAAATACCAAACAAACTTTATATATTCTAAAAAGAATACGACTTTGGAAACATCACATACCGTAATACCTATTTCAAAACAAACTGTTGGTAACCCCACAAGACGTTATGTTTATTATGACAGTTTTACTCCTCGTTCCTCCTAATCCTATATTTATTTTTAAACATATAAATCGGGGGGGGGGGGGGTCTGTCATTTTTTGTCAAGTGGTGTGGTTTCGATTCCCCGATTGTGCGTGACAAGGAGTAGAACAGCTTGTTCAACCGCGTGTGATTTCTCCGGTCCTCCGATTTCCCCCCCCACTGCTAAAGACACCCACGCACACGCGAATTATTGAAATGTAATTGAACTATAGTTTATCCCGAAACGACTTAGTATGTGTCAAGTGGGCGTTAACCCCCATCCCCCCCCCCCCCTCTCTCTCCCTCTCTCTATCTCCTCTCCCTCCTATAAATCATTCAAACAAAATACGGGGTATTCCTAGGAAAAGTATGATTGATTCGTACCGTAAGAGCAGCTACTACAAAACACTGTCACTGTTTGCCCAAGTGATTTTTAAGCTGAACATTAACACGCTGCATAACATTACGATTTATTTAGCTGTACTTTTTTTTTATTATTATTGACATTTAAAACATAGGTCTATGCCGAGATCGAGGTCTGTTGCACATAATGGCGGTCCATTACTCCCGATATAGTGTGCGTTTGTTATTTAGAACTAATGGGCGACTGGCTATAAAGGACTACTAACATGGCGACGGGTAACTACGGAAGCTAAAAATGTTATTCTGAAATAATTGTTATCTCTGTCTATTGTTTGCCGGTTTTGTTATAATGAGTGATAGTGGAATGTTGTTTTGATTAGTTGGAATATCTTCTTTTTAGTTTCGAAACTTTCAATGGATCGAATTGGCTGTTCATGACATTGTTATTCTTCGAAGAATTAACTTCGTAGTCATGATTGTTTAGTCCTGGTCATACGGTAGTCGATGTCGCATTAACAGCGATAAGCTGATTTGATTAAACATGAATAGCAAGATGACGACTTATCTTACACAAGAGTTTGTGGAAAGAAAAATAAGTGTGTTAAAAACTCTGCAAGATGGTTGGGGCGTTGATCGATACAAAACAGGAAATTTTTATCGACTTGACTTAAAAATGTGCCAAATAAAAGATCTAAGTTATAGTTTTGAATGGGGACAAGAGAGAGGTATTCCTCCTCGTTTGGCGAAGATTACAGAAACACCATCGAAAATATTGTACCTTGACATTTCTTTGAATGAGTTAATCAGTTTGACATCTGAAGGACTTCTTCCCTTTCGTAATCTTCGAGTTTTGGACGCATCTTTAAATCAGATCAGTAATTTCCAGGGTATTGAAGTGTTGCCTCTCCTCTACAGTTTAAATCTCTCACACAATATGGTATCGAATGTACAGGGACTGGTCAACAGTGGCTCATTAGTGGAACTCAATTTAAACATGAACAAAATAACCGATTTGTCCAGAATGCCCAGTCTCATTAACTTGAAAGTGTTGAATCTCAACAATAACCACCTTGCAACACTAGATGGGGTATCAGCCCTTCCTAAACTTCAAGAACTTTATGTACAAAGAAATAATCTTGTTAGTCTTGTACATGTCACAAGTTGTTTTTATTTGACTGTTTTAAACGCTGCGGAAAATAAAATTCACAATCTTGATGGGGTAACTGATGTTCTACCTAGATTAGGTAACCTACAAGTTCTGTGCCTTCACGGGAATCCGATTGATCGAGAAAATGATTATCAACATAGTCTCTTATCATCCAGTGATAATATTATGATGTTAGATAATATAAGTGTCAGACCTCTAGCAAGAAAACAAGTTCCGATGCGAGATCCTCATTCGGAAAATATATCAAATTTACAGGAAGCAGCTCGTCAGGCTTTTGACGAAAGAATACGTGCCACCAGAAGTAAAGTTGATGAAAACGTCAGCTTTCTTCAAAAACGCATCATTGCTTTACAAGATGAACAGAAAGATTTTGAACATAAAATGAAGAATGATTTAGATGCATGTTTGAGATATTTGGGTACATTGTCCAATGGAGAAGCTGCTGGAGTAGATCGGACATCTTTCTCACGGGGTTTCCCTTCTGCTCGTGACGACTTGCAAACGGATAAAAGTACAGCTAGACGGAATAAAAATGACTATAAAGGTGTGAAAGATACTGACGAAGTGCTAAGATGTGCCTATAATGAACTTTCTACAGAGAAATCCTCGAGATGGGATGATATTTAAAACAATGAATGGATTAATTCTTTCTTTCATACAATAAACTTGTTGGACATATGGTACTATGTAGTATACTAGTTCTTTGCGGGGAATTTTGAGATTGGGGTGCTCTAAAGAGTATTAGTTTTTGAGCGGTCCTACTTAATTCTAAAGGACTATTTATGCAGAATCTATTTTTTAAATTATAAAATACATTTTAGACATTTCATTGCAGCTGATTATTATTTTTTAGAAAATATATTAAAGTTTTAGTTCTGTCTTACTCACTTCTTATTAGTAAAGTTCTTATTACCTTTTCTTGACTATTTTATTCAGATAAATTTTTTAGGTGTTGGTGAACAGACATAGTTTGTTAAGTAAATCCCATAGACTATTTGCATAGAGTGGTCTACATCCTAGTTTTGAATCGGTTAATAGAGTTATTTCCCTTGGACTACTTATGCTATTTTTCTTCTTAGGTCTAAAAATTAAGGCAATTAAACTGCAGATTTGGTCAAAGATCACGAGATGCAAACAGGACTAGCACTAACCCTAACCCTATTTACATCTCGCAACCTTGACGAAATCTGCAGTTGGCTTTTTAATTGTTATACTTTACCTTCTTTTTCTGCCCAGTGTGAGGCCTCTCCGGGCCTCTATATATAACTACTTGTCCGATTTATGGGATCATTCCATATGCCTAAGTTGAAATATAGGTGTATCTCCCTAATATCTCGGTTCCTTTTGAAATTGGCATGTATCGAACCGTAACTTCATGGAGTGTTGCCTTTGAGTGTCCGAAAAATCACGTTTTTAGCTTGCTGACACTCAGGACGTCACAATTTTTTTTATCGGATTTTGATAAAACTTGAAATGTATGTTTATAACCCACCGATCTCGGTTCCTTTCCATATCCCGCATGTCAGTCTGTAACTTCCTGGATTATGGCCAATGATTGTACGAAAAATCGCGTTTTTGCTTGTGATTTAAAAAATCGTTTAAATATTTCACCGTAAAAGTATGTCATGATATCAAGGTTGTGGACCCACTAGAGGTGACAATTTTGATCCGATTTTGATGAAATTTCCAATTTATGTTTATACCACAAAGATCTCGGTTCATTTCGATAATGACGCATATTGGAACGTAACCTCCTGGATTATGACCCCTGATTTTTCTAAAAATCACGTTTTTAGTTTGTGGACCCTCTAGAAATCACATTTTGGAATCAATTTTAAAAACCGTTTAAATATATCACCGTTACACTTTAATGAAGGTTGAGTTTGAATTTCTTAAAAATCCAACCGAAACTGCCTGACAAAATGGCCGCTCCTTGTAAGCAAATAATCTAAAAGTATGTAATACCATGGTTGTGGACCTTCTAGAAGTCACAATTTTTATTCGATTTCGTTAAAACTTAAAATGTATGTTTACACCAGACAGATCGTGGTTTCTATCAATAATCAGGCATATCGGAAGGTAACTTCCTGGATTATGGCCCCTGATTGTTCGAAAAATCACGTTTTTAATTTGTGGACCCCTAGAAGTCACAATTTGTAATCAGTTTTACAAACCGTTTAAATATATCACTGTTACACCTCAGTGGAGTTCGTAAAAATCCGACCGAAAATGGCAGCAGTTGCTCATTGATCAGATCATACGACTTACTGGAGGGAGAAGACAACGGGTGGAAGCTGTCATCAGGACACGTGGCGGGTTTATACCACTATTGATGATTGTGTCAACAATATCTTCTGTGGAATCAAAATGTCATTTTTCATCTTAAATCACGATGTAGAATTGTGTTTGTGACTCTGCACCGTATACTTATTGTGACCCCTCTTTGACTCAAATACGGCACCTTGGAATTCTTTTCATAATGATGATTAAAATCAGAAAAATTGGATAAACTCTTTATATTTTCTTATTGTCAAAGATGAGTTCTTGTAAACCACGTTTGTTTTTCCAAGGTTTTATTATCAGGGCCCAGGGCTGTAACTAACTCAGAGCAACGAGGGGGGGGGGGTGTTCTCAGGGGTGCTGCAAAATTGACGGACAATGTATATGCATTTTTTCACAGGGGGGTGGCGGGATTTTTTGCAGGAGGGCTCCCCCTGCCCCTTCTCCCACCTTAGTTACGGGCCTGTCAAGGCCTCAGCGTCACATCTTGTAAATCATTGTGACAAATACATAGGGTGCTTAACTTTTTTCTTTGTGAATATATACCCAGACTAATAATATAATTCTACCGTGAATGTTTCGTGTATAGTAATTATGTTAATGTGTGTACAAAGTTTCGTATGGTATTTTAAGCCCCTCATGACCGGAAATGAAAACCACGACGGAAAAATTGACGAAGCCAATTTTAGAATCCCCAGTCTTAACGTCGTTCGAGTCGCCGTGGCTCAGTGAGTTAAATGCCGGCTTGTAAACGTGGAGATCCGTGTCCCGGTTTCCCCTTGTCATTGTCATTGGAGTAGGACAAAGGATCTGGCAAGGAAAAGACGGCACGAAAAACTGAGGTATCGGTGTCAGTGCCGGATTAAGACTGCTGGCGATTAGATTTAACTTCAAGAGGTCACGAGATGTAAACAGGGCTAGCGCTAACTTCAACCCTAACCCTGAACCCAGTCCTAATGCTTACCCTAACTCTAGCCTACAATCTCGCCAACAATCACGTGTCCTAACCTTATTTACCTCAGCGAGCATGACGAAAATTGAACTGGCTTAAACAAATAGGTTTAGGCCTCTGCTGGCCCTAATGCACATTTAATAGGTGGTCTGAAAATTCAGATATTTTGGGTTCACCGATAAAAGGTAGAAAGTTAAATTTAACAACATAAAATTTACTACCCAAAAATTCAGAACCAATTTTTTTGACAGAACTGTAATTACTATAATAAGATTACAGCAGCTAGATTACAACTTTCTTTTACTTTATTTTCTTGTGGCCTGGATTTTTAGCTGACCCTAAGGCACTTTCCTTATTTGTCCGATAGTTAACCCGTCACTGTCACGTGTAGACGTTGGCGTGCACGTAAAAGAACCCTTAACAGTTGGAATTCGTTTGCCCGTCTTCATTATCACGTTGGCGTGCACGTAAAAGAACCCTTAACAGTTGGAATTCGTTTGCCTGTCTTCATTATCACGGGTGGAGTAGAAAGTAGGACGAAAAACCCCACTGGACATTGACTATCATGCTCCCTACCGCAACCCCTTTGTACAGTTATCTATTTTATTTTTTCGGCGCGAACCACGGTTGCTCCGTCAGTAATACGATGGCTCGCTAACCTGGAGGTCCCGAGTTCGATCCCGGTGCTGGCCGAGAACGAGAAAGTTCATCAGGATTATCCGGCGTGCCCCCCCACCCTTGTCAGTGTTTCATTACGGATGGCCTGGCAAGGGACAACGTATAGTAGTTCGGATGGGACGAGAAACCTGGATCGATTCCGCGTACACATTGGCGTGCACGTAAAATAAACCTTGGCAGTTGGAATTCGATATAAGAGTAGCACACTGTATATGGCGTATGCCCGTCTTTATTAGCCCAGTCGGAGCAGAACAGTAGGACGTTAAACCCCATTCTTTTCAAGTAGGGTTTTCTTCCACGTTTATTGGAATAGAAATAGGAAGTATAGAATATACCTCCATGATTTCATTACCTGTATTCTCACGATATTTTATTTAACAATTCTTGTTGGACCTTTATTTCACACAAGCATAGTTTCACAAGTGGCATGGGAATGTTTGCATAGTAACCGTGAATTGCGTACAATTTCCAAAGAATGGAATATCTTTTTATGTATATAGGCTCTACAAACTTGTTTTATTTCACAGCTAACAATGGAAGATTTTCGTCATTATACCATTATAAATTATCTATAGACTAGAAAAATTAAATTAATATAAGCACTCTAATAACAGCCTCATTGATCATTATTCAATTTCTTTAATGAATAGAATAGGATATAACTTAAACCATATATCCTTTCTACACAGTTCTGTGAAACCCGGCTTTGTTTAATGGTATCTATAGTATAATGTATTTAATGCTAATTCAAGTGTTGATATACCTAGATCAAATACACTACAGTCGTCGTTATATTTATTTTGTTTGTGTAAAGTAGGGGTGGAAGATGTAAGCTATTCTATTATCCTTGAGAATCTATATAACGGATTTGGTTGTTACTTATTATTGGAGTGGACTAGTACAGTTTGAATGGGTAAATCTGCAGTCGGATATTACAATATATACGGTGTAATATATACGAGTCTTTATTTCTACCATTTCTGTATGTTCCGGGTTAAAAAAAATTGGACCAGGAACTAGTCGCTAACCGCTACTCATCTTCTTGTTGTTCTTCTTCATCTTCTTGGGATGACGCTCTTCAAATAAAAAAATCAAAAAAAAAAAATCCGCCAATTCATGTCAGATCGACATGAAAATTGGCACGCTTCTTCCTGTAACAATTCTGCATCGATTTGGGAAATCAGATTTTTAAATTTTATCCTTAGAACAAACTTATGACGTCATAACTGTGCGAGCCTTTGTTAAAGAAAGCTTTTCGAATTCTGTCTTTACAGAGTAATACGTGTATATACAGAGAACAATACCTGTATATACAGAGAACAATACCTGTACGTTAAAATTATACGCTTAAAAAAAAACCAATACAAAACTGCGGAAATGCACTGATGTTTTTATTAGAGGTAACCAGTGTATGTTAATAACAGGCCAATTGCCTACACATGAACATAAACAGTTCAAATGGGCGGCTTATCTGACGGCCCAATTTCACTCACAAAGAGATACACCGTCAAAAGTGAAAATGGACGTTTTGGGATTTTTGTCTTAATAATGAGTAATTGAGCCACCAATCCTCAGACATTCAGCAATTCGTCGTGGCATGGTCCTAATCAACCGTCCAATCACGATTTGCGGCAATCTGACCCACTCCTCTTGCAGTGCCACGGCCAATTCTTGCAGTGTTGTCGGTTGACGTTGACGTCGACGAACGCGTCTCCCGATCAAATTAAACGTAACACACTAAAGCAAGATACGCTAAACAGTAAATCTTATGCAAGAACCGATAGAAAAGCAAACATGGATAGATAAACCAGCACGCGGCAGTTTTCATCAACCCTTCCTTGAAGTGTCAAATTTGACAATGAACCCCTCCCACGTGTATGGCGCTATTGCGTGTCGCATGCGCAGCTCAGTGGTTCTGTTGGGGCGATAAGTTCTTCATCTGTGAACATACTTTCAAAGCATGTCAAATGGTCATGACTATTTATCATATCACAACCTGCATAGGTAATTGCATTTCAATATTCTCTACTTTTTTTGAAGAGTATATGTTATGTACCCGAATGAGGTGGGACTCTATATATCATACTCTCAAACATCATGGTCAATTCCCGATCCATAGTACGCCCGTAGCCTACTTGTTTAAGCGAAGCTTTCTTGGACCCAATCACACCCTGTTCAATATTTGTATGTATAAAACTTGTAAATATGACATGATCCAACATTCAGATCAAAGTTTTATTCAATTTACATTCTATATATAAACAGGTCCGAATGTTCGCATATAAACATTCGAATGTTTATGTGGTTAAGAGAAATATGTTACGTAAATAAATATATGCGAACATGAAATTGTGTCATATACATATCAGTGAAAGCTGTCAGTGCAGCATGTAACAGACGTACGTCGCAAGGAAATCATGAACCTCCTGCGGCATGAAAAACATGTTTAGGAAGTTAGTCAGTGCATTGATGAAAGTTTTAAAGTCACTGTCATCACTGTCTGTATTTCACAATGGGGCCCAAAAGCCAAAAGATGGTACGTTATTGGGATGCCAATAGTAAGTGCAGGGAGATTGCGCCACATCCAAACAAATACATTCCCGGGCCTGTAGTGATACATACTTCCTGAAAATAAAAAAACACCAACAAACCTTCAATACGGGGGGCAACTCAAGAAAAAGGGGAATATTTACCAAACATTATAGACAGATTGCACACAGTTGGGTCATATTATCCTTCGGCCATTACTTAGTGATGGCAAAACTAATAACGTAAATGAATAGTCGTCGCCTCTCACCACTCGCTATCCTAGGTAACTATTCGTAATCGACTAAAATCAGCTGGATATGGCGCTAAGAGACCTATCAGACGAATTGTCTTGTCACATTACCGTACGGCTGCTGGACTAGCATGGTGCCGAAAACGTCATGGCGGATGAGAGTTGCTTTCTCTTCTTCATGACGGATGGTAGAGTTGCCATACACAATCGTCACGTAGAAATGGCGCAAAATGTTCATCAAGGGACAAAATGTAAGTCAAATTTTGCTTCCATGACTCAAATGACGTAACAGTTTCTGTTTTGGTAAGTACTCGTTGTTTAGGGGCTCTTAATGTTGATGAGGCCATGGCACCAGTATATTATTTACCACCAAATTAAGTCCTAAAAATGCATGATTTAACCACACGCAAATTGTTATCTATCGTACGAATCAAGTACGCCCGTTTGCTGTCAAAAGACAAATTTACCTTTTCCGGGAAAATGTGGTATGTTTTCCTTTACGAAAAGTTAATACCTTTAGAAGAATGAAGTCTGATCCAACTCTAGCCACCACGACAGTCGGTGAATAATCACCGGATTGGATTAATTACACAAACAGCGACAAACAATACAAGACTATTTAATGGCGGTAATAATACAGAGAGAACCGGAAGAACACAACATCGCGTGGTTAACTGACCACAGGGACTTGTAAGATAAATAACATAGGAGTTCGTACTAAGCCTAGTACTAATGACTATGGCGTAGAGAAGGTTCCATGATATAAGATAGCCTTTAGTATGACTATAAACTTTCACTGGTAACACTTAGAGGTCACCCCCATGCCAACGGTACGAAAGAGAGATTCTGGACAGGGTTGTAGTGACCCACGTTGACAACCATCCTCTTCTCTCAAGACCATGGAATCTTGCGCATGCCGTTGTTGATTTTCGGCGTCAGGAGGCCATAATTGCTACACTACCTTGACAACCAGAAACCCTGACCTAAGCACACCTGGAACATTCTTAGGCGTAAAATGCATCGTAAAATGCATCCAAGGGAACCACCATAGCGATTTGGATCAGGCGGCACATCAGATATAATATGACATATTCATTGTTTTGACGGCTCTATTATGAAATGATATGGGGTGATCTGCTGTATTATTTTCTATTATAGACCCTCTACTTAAACTTCAACTGTTAAGTATATAAAAAGATTGTAGATGGTTTGAGTTTGGTGCACATTGAACAACAGCTGCTATGGTCCCCGTCTTTTATAGGAAATGTGTAATATGTACTGCACAAAGTTTGTGGAGCCTCTGCTGGCTACAGACTGTTTTATTTTCTCGAATTTAGATGAAACTTTAGTTAAAGATCAAGTGAACTCGGATGAATTTTGTGTTGGTGCGCAACTCTGTAGCTTCATGGGTTATGGCCCCTGCTTTTACGCAAAATGTATGTACATTAGCTAGTGGTACATTTAGAGGCCACAGTATAGTTCCAATTGCTAATATTTTTATCATCATTAATATTTATTTTCATATTCATAGTTTATATACATTGTACCTTTCAAATTTCATACGCCCACATGTATGCTTGTTTACTATTTCAAGGTGTACCTTCCCACTGACCATTCACTGTCTTCATTCAAAATCAAACTGTCTTTAAAAGACTTTCACATACTTCTAATGTTATAGCTGGGAAGGGGCCATTGCCCGTCTATGTCACTGTCCGCAATTTTTCTTATTAATGCTATAGAGGCTAGAGATTTAGAAGGTATTTCTGTCAGATTTGCCGTGAACCATGTCCGTATCCATTGCCAGCATCGTCCGTCAACAATATTGTGTTAACGACCGAATTAAGTTTGAAGCATTGGAACCATAAGCGCATGTACCCTATCGGTTTTCTATACATTCTCCGTTGGTCTATCCGCCAGTCCATGTAATGGTGGCTAGAGTTCTCGGACGATTTTTTCAGAATTTTATATCAATCATTGGGACAATGACAGGATGAAAATCGTCATTTTATTGACTGGCAAATGTGCACACGAATTTCCAACGTCTTTAAAGAGTAGACATATTTCTACATGTTAGTCCCATGTAGGGTTAACGTATATTTCAGTCCCGGTGTGCACCTTCTCGTTACTGGTAGGTTACTATTATTAATGCTTCCCATCGATATGATGTTTGAAATGAACTGAAATGCAGGAATGGTACACCTTGAAGATCCTGCCCCGACAGACCCCCTCCCCCCGCCCTTTCACTCTATTAGAAATATAGAGGTTGGGTGACTGACTGGATTAACACGTGCGCTTTAGATCATAAGGTTTGTCATTAAGGCAAGTGGCAAAATGATTTCGATCTAACACTTATAAGTGACAAGGAGTAGGGTCGCCTGCCTAACTTCGTGTGTTTTCTTTGGGGCTAACCCGGTTTCCTTCCATTGCTAAAGACACCTACGCGCAAGCGAATTCGTCCCAAAATGACCTAGTGGTCGTGGAGTGGATGTGAAATACCCTATCTATTAGTAGCTTCAATTTGTAAGGAAAAGAAAAATATAAATATCAGCAGTACAAAAGGTAACTTTATTATCAAATATTTGATGGCAAGAATATTTTTTCTTTTTTAAAAAACAACAAGAAAAGGCAAAAATATTATCATTATTTGGATAACATACAAATTATTTTATTTCTTGGAATAATCTCGAACCCGAAAATAGTATATTTTTATTATTTTTGTTGACATGAAAAATAGAACTTACGAAATACAAAAGTGCAAACTATAGAGAAAATATTTTTTTTAAGATTACCTTTACCTATAAAAGCATCTGTAATTTCATAATCTGTGATTGCACATAATTCTCTTTTGACATACATGTAACACTGCCATAAGGCTAACAGCACTTATTCCATGTCGCAAAATGCTCTTGCTTTATTGCCAACTTAATAAACATGCCAAGTGGGCGAAATATTCATTTCCTCCCCGATTTGACTAATAATTAATAATTTATCCATTTATACAGAGCGACAAATAGTAGCCAATGGCTGCTCTAAGGCGTTTTACAAAGCTTCGACTTATATGGGATTTATAAAGATAAACGAAAGGTAAATTCCGGTATAATGTGACGACGTCAGCGCCTAATAATTACAGATAAGGTTTTATACTGAGAATTCGAAATACAAATTAACTGTTGAAACATGCGCGAATAAAAATTGATAATCGCTAAAATTTTACAAATATAGAAAATGAGAAGATGATCAAGATCTAAAGGATGCACTGGGTAAAATCAGCCGCACAGGACTCGATCCAGCCTCGGTATTGTGCAATGTCTACGGCAATTAATGGTATGTTTCCATTCTCTAAACAGCTGTGGAAACTGATGAGACCACTAAGTTCCCATCGACCATCTCTAGGGCACATAACAATACCTCCCCAATCAAACTGGAAAATAAAACACGTATGAAATTGAATATTTACAAGAGAACTAAAGTGTTTGGATTCGTAATTGCGCAGATTATTATGAAATAAATGAATGCACCATATTAAAGATACATTATGGGAGATTCGATAACGAGTTCGCAAATCTCACTATAATAGTTTAAAACAAGATAATGTAAAGGCAATTTGCTGATAATTTCATTCAAATTGATCCACTATGAACCGAGAACAAAGCGATTGAATTTCCGCCTAGCCTTGATCATCATTACTAAAGTCAGTACGATAAACATCACAGTCTCGATTATCCATTTAATCGTTAAATCGTGAAGGAAAGTTATGCAGTAAATCGGCTCACAAACTACTAAAGATCGTAGGCTAGCGATGCCATCTAGAGTTGATTATGGTGTGGAAAGGTTAATTAATGTCTAATTAATAATTTAGATAACATTTCAGGCCTAAAGAAAGACCTGCAATAGACAGATTTAGCTCTTGCATAATGTATGTTTAATTGAACTCGTATGGGAAAATAGACAGAGCCAGTTTCCTATTTGAACACCTGTCAATATATTTGCTAGAATTTGATGGAATGTTGTTCTTTCACACCATAATCCCCACACTGATCAGCAGTGAATTTTCGCTAGGTCGCTACCATCACTGATAAGGGTGACATCAATGCGACTTAATGAGCCAGAAATATTAACTTTTTTCCTGCGACAAATTAAATTCTAAAACATTTTTTTTTATGTATTAGAAAAATAAATAAAGGCGTTTGAGGTATTTGTAGGTAAAAATTATTTCCTATTTAGTGCAAATGGGTATTAAAATGAGTAAAAGTCTCCATTCTGCCCGAACTAGAACGTCTTATGTAAACAATGCACGCGCCATTGAGCCAATGATTGACGCCACGTGTTAAAGGTAGTAATCTTTTACAGGGATATTAGAAGACTTTCGTAATCCTCTGTGAAACAGATTGCATGATCCCATGAAATCGACATTCATTCGACTAATTAATACATTCTTACAACATTAGATACCAATACACTGTCAGTGCTGAGAACAAAGGGAGCTTACCACGCATGCTTTTTGTTGAGCCTGGATAGGTTCGACGACCATGCTACCTTCTGGATTTAGACCGTCCACATATCTCAGGATTCCGGAACTGGTCGACTTGTCAAAAACACGGACGTTAGCTTTACCTGGTCTTGGGAAAGGTCTAAACTCGTCAGCTGGAATGTGGAATACAATTTATTAAATATGGCTTTCCCTTATATCGAATTCGAACTGCCAAAGAATATTTTACGCGCAGGCCAATGTATACAGGGGACCTCGGTTTTTCGTCCCGACCGAACGACTAGCCAATTGTCCTTGTCAGGCCCTATACAAAACTAGAATAACCTATACTAGAATGAGTGTATATTAAACCCCATTTCATTAAATCATTCCATTATATAGGGTGGCCTATACACCGCCTCCTACACGACTTTAGTTAATTAGAGAGATAATCAGGACTTGGATTTCAGAAGCCGGAGCTACATGGTTGTAGTGAAAGGAAATGAAACGAATGGAATATAACGCCCTGTCAACGCAATACTTCGGTAATGTCTAGACTAACTTGCGGTTATTTTGGTATTGTCACGTGTGCAATGTTATAGAGGGGAATTTTGCCCGGACAGCGACACCTCCTTCCACCTACACTTCATCGAATTCCACCTCTCAAAACGTCGTTTACGTGCAATGCACCGTGGACACAGGTGGAACTTCTTTTTTCGTTCCAACCGAACGACCAGTCAATATTAATTTGTAGGCCACGCATGTACTAAACCTGACAAGTGGCAACCGGCCTTGAAAAATCCCTAGCAGAAAGGGGAACTCGGGTCGCATCAAAGACCCGACTTGGGACTCGAATCAGACTCGAGATGCGGCGAACTGGGACTCGATTCGGACTCGACGTCCCGCGACTTGTTCACACTTCTGGGCCCTAGTACTGTAGCAAAGAATCCGCAGTACAGCTTCTGTTTTTAGTTAAGCATTCATAAAATTAATCAAATTTAAGTATTATACCTACCAAATCTGGTACCAAAACCTGCCATTTGACATTCGTTCTGTACTTGACCACATTCAACATTTTCTGCACGACGTGGTAAACAAGCTGGTATCTTACAGTTATTGTATTTAATTTTTCTGTCCAATCTGATTAAAGCGATATTATTGTCTAAAAATAATAATAAAAAATAATAACTAGATCGCTTCTCGAACAGGTTTGATAGTTTTTTTTATACAACCCAATCATACACCCAATCATATACAACCCAAACGTCGATCGTTTGCGAAGTGTGAATGCTTCCAAAAATTGGATAAGAATTGTAGCACGCGTAGGATTTTAAAGATTGACTTACATTTTCAAAATGATAGTTTTTTTTTATACAACCCAATCATACACTTATACACATCAATTTCAACATCTAGTAGATTAGATGGCCGAATGGTTAGAATACCAGTAAAGCTATAGCTAACACGCCCTGCTGTTCTAAAGTATAATAAAGTCTTACACTATTTAAAACAGAAATCTAGGTCAAATAACAAAATTCTAAACGCGCTGATCGTTTGCGAAGTGTGAATGCTTCCAAAAATATGACGATATTGAAAATTGGATAAGAATTGTAGCACGAGTAGGATTTTAAAGATTGACTTACATTTTCAAAATGGTGGCACTTCCGGTGAATTTTAACTTTATGAGATTACTCTAAAAAGTTGATAGACGACTCGTATTGATAAATACTTTTAAATAAGGCAAAATTAAAGAAGTTGAAAAGCTGACTTCATCTTCAAAGGGGAGATAATAGGAAATTTATTGTACACAGTTTTGTCTTAATCCACCCATTTGTAATGTATTCTGAAAGTTTCAAGTCGAAATGTTAAAAAATAAAAAAGTTACGCTCAGAATTTTCACTCTTTTCACTTTTGTGTTTAAAATTGGGCCATACGCATGTGTCGTAGAGGTCACAATGCCCCAAAATACGAACAGTTACAAATTGGTTGAAAAACAAAAAAGTTTCCTTTGATGTCTAATATTGGTCTATTTCCATGACGTCACTTCCTGATATCATTTTTAACGTTTTAGTTATATATTCACAGTTCCAACTAAATACCTTTCGGATAGTATAGACTTTAATTCTGTAGAATATGAACTTTTTCGAAAAACGCAATGGAAATAAAAAGCTCATCTTTGAACATCATCAAGGCATTGACCTAATAAAAACCTACACCAAGTTTGAACATTCTAGCTCAATTAGAAGGAGTGTTATTCTGTCCCAAAAAGTGTGACGGACAGACAGACGAACAGGCAGACAGACAGACGAACGAAACCATTTTAATTGTCCCCTGCTTTCTTCGAAAGGCGGGGGACAAAAAAGTAATAATAATCTGAACAAAAACAAAATAGTTTTTATACTACATAGAACCACGAGGTTACGCCACGTGACTCAATGGTTACCTTATGCCCTTTAACAGTACTCACCCAAAGAGGCTGAATTATAATTGGGATGTACTTTGGCTTCTCTAATCTTAGCTCTGTCTTCCGGTGCTCCATCATTACCATAATCAGTTCTATAACTGTCATATTCACCGACTACTACCCTTATATTAGATAACAAAGCGGCTCCGTCTCCTTGTACATAGCTATAAATACAAAATAGAAACAATTAGATAATAGAACGGCCCCGCCGCCTTGTACATAACTATAATACAAAATAAAAACCAACATATATTTTACTCGTAGGCTAAATGAAAATTACGTTTCTGCAGACGGACACCACGCTATTAGGATTAACATACGATTAACTGTTTTCTATGGAAGTGAACAGAAATGCGGTTCAACGTTCTGCTTTGCTGCCCCATTTGGGCAAATGGAGAAGGGCACACGGCCTGCATTGTTCTACGAAGGAAACTTTTCTCCCAAGATAACGGCGTTTCTTATTTCTAATTCCTAATTGTATTTAGTGGTTAAATAGGATGACCGATATCAACATATCTTTCTAGAACTATTATACGATGTCTCATTTATTTTGGAATCTCTCTCTCTCTCTCTCTCTCTCAATCTCTCTCTCTCTCTCTCGTAAACAGACCAAAGAGGCTTACGGTGCTATGCAGTTGGCTGTCGTGACAACTAAATCCTCATCAATAAGACTTCCGGCGCAGAATGTAATGTTGCCCAAGTTACTAAGGTCAGTTGCAAAAAAGAACCTGAGAGCGACCATCGAGGAATATGGGATTGTACATTGAGCGTAGGTTTCTCCACCAATAATTCTGCTTGATTTCCCCATAATACTACCACATACATCTACAAAGAAAAGATAATTCATTTACTACAGGAAGTGGGATCGGTCTTGCATGTGTGACAGTGGTAACAATGACAATCGAGGCTACAGTGATTTTAAAATAAGGTTTTCTCGGCTTATAGAGTAAAGCAATTTGACTGGAATTTTCAGAATATCCCCTTTACATTATCTAGCTTTTAACTATTATAATGAGAACTGCCAATTTTTTTTATCTAATTTTCCATAATGTATATTTAAGTTGTTTATCTACCACAGCCCCGACTGTGGACAGACGCGAAGCTGGTTCGCCGACATTCTCATTCCTGCATAGATGATTTTAGTCGAAAGTACTACACGTATTCACCAACAATATACATTACCAAATGAAATATTTATTTGGTATAATGTATGTATTATAGAGCCGCATAGCATAATAGCCTACAAATGAATCAATGTAGCGACCATACAGGCCAGATACAGTGTGCTATGAGGGTGCGGGAAATTTTGCCCGGACAAAGGGGCTATGGCCTACTCTTACTCTTATATCGAATTCCAACTGCCAAGGGTTCTTTTACGTGCATGTCAATGTGCACACGAGACCGCAGTTTTTCATACCATCCGAACGACTATACATTGTCCCGGGCCTACTGTTCTGCACGACTGCCAAGGGGGGGGGGGGGGGGGGGGCACGTAGAACCATAGCACAGAATGTAATTATACATAAAATAAATAATTGATTAAATACTTTACCATTTAACCTAGGGTTTGGTTTATCTGTCACAACTTCGCCACGACAACAGGAACGCCCACTACTACATTCATGCCCAAGATAGGTCTGACCTTCCTGGCAACCACCGGACATACAAGTTCCTTGATATATCTCACAGGCTTCTATAAAATATAAATAATATCTGATAACTGTACGTATCTTCTGTGGCGGTGTGCCATTTAAATCCTAAATGTACTGCCTGGTGTCTTACAACTTGAACGGCCAAATAAAACGAAATGAAATAAAATGGGGTTTAGCGCCCAAATGTTCTTTAACGTGCACACCAACGTGTACATTTCAGATCATACAGATAAATATTGTCATTTTACCGGAAGTGAGACTCATTAACATGTCCCAAACCATAATTTGAAATTATCTTTCCCACTTAATGGGTTAAACATTATGTAAGTATAATGTCTGAGAAAAATTCTAACACGATGTTCTCACCCCTTGTTTGACAAGACCCTTCAAGGGTTTGGTAAGATCCTGAGAATATTTCAAAATGACTCGAACTTAAAACTCTTTCATCGAGCACAGGAAACAATTAAACAATTTTTCAAACTATATCGCCCATTTGGCTCTAATTGGTGACGGGGGGTTGGATGCCCGAATGGTTAGCACGTGCGCGCTGTATCATAAGGCCCGTCATTGAGTTAACTGGCGTGGTTTCGAATCCCCGCTTGTACGTGACAAGGAGTAGGATCGCCTGTCCAACCGCGTGGGTTTTCTCCGGGTCCTCCGGTTTCCTCCCACTGCTAAAATTGAACCATATGTTAGTCCCGAAATGGCCTAGGTTGTTGTGTGCGAAACGTAGTATGCTTGTTAGTTCTAGAACAACGGATACCACTTCCCATTTATTTATGGAGTTCACATAGGTCACAATAAATATGTATATACTTTTGTAAAATTGTACAGAAAGAGCTTTAAAAAGACACTTTATAAAAACCACTGAGAAGATTTAAATAACTAAATCTATTTTTAGGAAAATAGCCTTGAATTTATATTGCTAAGAGCAGACCAGCAATTATATATTTTTTTGCTCAAAAAAATATAAATACCTCCAGTTAAAAAATCAAAGACCCTTTACTTCTTCATATTTACTTGGATTGAAATCCCCCCCCCCCCCGCCCCAAATGAGAGAGCGAGGGAGAAATGGGGTTTAAGGTCCACTCGACACAGGTAATTTCGGGACTAACATATTTTTGTTTTTTTTAAGTGTGTTCGGAACCGTAGACGATCGCAGACTGGCCGTAGAGACTTTTGGTTCTGCACATACAAAATGTTCACCCGTTTTTTTTTGCGGCTGGTCTGCGATCTACCAAACCCTACAACCCCGTGCGTGCCAAAACACGTACGTTGGGTTGTAAGCCAGGCTTATGAAATAGAGCTGGTCGTTCTCGCTATAATATTTCAAAAATAGATAATCCAAAATGCATATTAAAAGTTTCATTCAAATTACTTTATTTTGGGCGAAGTTTTCAATGGTTGTAGTTTTGATAAGATGCGTACATTAATCGCAACCACTGGTAGTTCGAGTCTTATCCTCATTTCTCCCCTTTCAATTAAACCATTAAATGGCTGAACCGTTCTAATCTACTTACCATTGGAGCCATCCGATGGCATCGAGAGTTGATTATGGTCTTGTCATATTAAATGTCTAATTAATAATTTATATAACAAACTCTTACATAATGCCTGTTCAACATTCGGGATTTTATTCTTATCTCTTTACATATTTATCTACCGAAAACACAAAAGTACTTGTATATAATCTACTTTAAGGCCATACAACCAGGACAAAATTGAGCACAGAGTGTTTAGAAAACAATATCTACATCAGAACTTGACGACACCCACTTTGGTTTAATTTATAAGGCGGAGTGCATTAAAATTTTATAGAATCATTGTCAGAGCCATAGGGATAAACAAAGTCTTTGAAAGTTTTCGAGGATACCGACTGACCCTTATTAGGCGTTTCTGTTATTGAGGTCAATGATATGAAAAGGATTTGGTAGTAAGGCGGCTACTTTAGATTTCTTTGAGATCATAGAAGTTTATTTTTAGAGATTTGGAAATAATGTGTATAATGCTATTGAAAGATTTAACTTGCATTAGAATTAGAATACAATAACGTCAACATGTCTAAGGAAATGTGGGTTTAAGTTTAAAATCCCAATTTTCAGCATTCATCCGGCTACAATCTAAACGACAGACTCACCCTACCTGCAGAGAAGTGACTCGGACACAGTGAATAGCCATGATATCCATGACGTTATCTAAACGTCACAGGTCATGAGGTCACATCAACAAACAAATGTAAACACCATCATTATGATCATTATCAACATTACAAGACACAATGTTACATTGTAAACAATAGCCTTCTTGCAGCCTTTAGGACTGTATAATCCGTACAGAACGTCTTATCGCTTCTTCCAATGATTTTTCACAAAATAACATCATCTACAACTCTAGATTTGACGTCGGATTATTGGCACTATTTTGTGCTACGGTCGGGTCTATTTCAGATATACACAATCAATTCTGTTAATGTTTTTAGCGTGGGGATTGACTAAAAGTAAATTTATTTCAGTTCTAAACAAAAATTTAAAACTTTAACGCAATTTTAAAAAAAATAGCCAAATTCTGGCTGGGATTACTGAGCAAAATGGCCATTCACTGTATACGTGCGAAAAAAAACCCAGCTACCATTTAATTTCCGTACGTATAGTTACGTACGATCCGGCTAATGAGTGTTATAAGGGGAATTTTGCCAATATTTTGAAATCGAACTATCCGGGTTTCTTATACACATACTCCAACATCTACGGAGCCTTCGTTTTTCGTCGCATCCGTCCTGCACCACTGACAAGGCGAAATAAGGTTAGCGAGCAAGCTCCTAACTCACTGAGTCACCGTGTATCCCACACCTCTATAGCATACAAGTACTTCTGAGTACTAAGCTTCTCTGGTCTTTATCAAGCAGAGAGAGAGAGAGAGAGGGAGAGAGAAATGGGGTTTAACGTCCAATCGACACAAACTAGGTCATTTCGGGACTAACACATGGTTCAATTTTTAATTTCTAAAATTCGCTTGCGCGTAGGGGTCTTTAGCAGTGGTAGGAAACCAGAGGACCCGGAGAAAACCCACGAGGATGGATGGTTAATTGAAAACGTTCGGCATAATTCGTAGACAATAAAAACAAGCCAGTGCCTTTATTGGGTAATGCCTTTTGATGGGCTTCTTTATAAGTGATATCGCAGACAAACCAGAGGTTACGACCACAAATAGTGGGTAACTGGGTACATTGTGTTACCTGATCGGGAAATACACTGAACACAAGTCTATAGAATATTGTTTATTATTGCTTGATGGGGGGTTGGATGGCCGAATGGTTAGCACGTGCGTGCTGTATCATAAGGTCTGTCACTGAGTCAACTGGTGTGGTTTCGAATCCCCGGCTGTACGTGACAAGGAGTAGGGTCGCCTGTCCAACCTCGTGGGTTTTCTCCGGGTCCTCCTGTTTCCTCCCACTGCTAAAGACCCCTATGCGGAAGCGAATTATTGAAATAAAATTAAACCATATGTTAGTCCCGAAATAACCTAGTTGTGTCGAGTGGACGTTAAACCCCATCTCTCTCTCTCTCTCTCTCTCTCTCTCTTTCAATTCACCATATCTTTATAAATAATGAACGGAATTGAACTATTGTTGGATTAATTCCGCCTAGATCAACACTATTCCAATGGAGTGCAAATCAACCAATTGACGACCAGTGGCTTTAAATAAGACTAAATTCGATGATTAACAATTAACAAGGTCATTTCGCGGATAACATTTGGTTCAATTTTATTTCAACAATTCGCTTGCGAGCTGGGGTTAACCCTAACCTACCAGTCGGGGGGAATCGGAGGATCAGGAGAAAACCCACTAGGTTGGAAAGCGACGCTACTCCTTGTCAAATGTACTAGCTGGGAATCAAAACCATAGCACGTAACTCGCTCCCTATCAATAAACCAAAACATGTTAATTATCTGTAGCAGTGGGGGGAAATCGGAGGACATGGAGAAAACCCACTAGGTTGGAAGGCGACCCTACTACTTGTCATGTAAACCATGCCACATGACTCGATGACAGACCACAGACTATTCGCAGAGTCATTTCGCACCCTATTAATAAACCCAAATATGTTAATCATCTGTAGCAGTGTGTGGGGGTGGGGTGGGGGTGGGTGGGGTCGTAGGATCCGAAAAAAAAAACCCCAATAGGTCACGTACAAGCTTGAACTCAAAACCATGCCACTTGACTGAATGACAGGCCTTAGACTATTCGCCCCCCTATTAATAAACAAAGCACGATAAGCATGTGTACAGTGTAGAACAAAGTTTTGGTCAGTATGTATAGTATATATTGTTCTAACATCACTACGTAAACATCACGTTCTGTACATTGTAAGGTACTTTACCTTCCCGTCTATTAGCTCATTGTATGTACTCGTAAAATCTCCTGTTTTCTTAAACATTTACATGTCTTTTTAATGAATTTAGATCAAACTTGTACCCGACTCCTTTTACCTTAATTAAAAAACTGTAGCGGCTTTTTTTTTTTGCGGCGACTTTTTTTTAGTTTCACTTATTTGTTTATTTGTACCAACAAGAAGCCAAAAAAACCAAACAATTATAGATGCATAAACAAGTGTTATTTATATTTTCATTAAAATATTAATACATTAAAATGATGTAGGTTACCAATGGGTACAATCGCAACATCTCTGCTTTAATAATCTTAATTATTCAGTTCGGGGGACGGGGGACGGGGGACGAGGGGGGGGGGGGGTGGCTCGCTAATCGGGGGAGGTGTTGTCTCGGGTTCGATTCTGGTGTTGGCCGAGAAAGTTTTTTCAGCGTGGTTCCCCCTTGTCAGTGATGCAGGACAGATCGCCTGCCAAGGAACAACGCCTTTTTGTCCCGTGTACACATGGGAATACACATTAACGAGAACTTGGCAGTTGGCACATATCCCTCTTAGCACACTACATATGACATGCCCTGTCTTCATTATTCTAGTGGTATCAGAAAATTAGGACGATAAACCCCTTTTCCTCGGGTAATAATATACTATAAGCTCATATTTCTGATGTCCGTTTGTGTAAAGTATTGCAAGATTTTAGCGTAAACGTTCTTGTCCGCGCAAAATTTGGATGCCTCTCGTCAACAATTTTAGTTATTGTGAATTCTTAAGACCAACATAAATTTATTTTTCTAATATTGTGTAATGGAGCCATTTTGACCGGCCATTTTCGTTTCCATATTGCCTACTATTCGAATTGTTCTGTTCTGTAATTCCCGTACAGTAGTAAATAAATGTTCGATTTGTTTTATTCAAAGAATAACAGAAAAATAAAATTAAAATTCACAGTTTAGACATTTCATGAAGAATTTTGAATTTTAAAAATATATTACCTGACATCATTCTAGCACTTGGTGTGGCCTGTGCCAATCCAGTTAAGGCCACGAGGCCTAAAATTAAGCTCCACGCCATCTTGGTGTTAAATCCTTATAATGTATAGAAATCCCCGACAACAAATTCTGAAAGCTTTAAGTTCAACTATATACGCTATAAAAAGTAGCGTACACGTCAGTTAGTACAGATTTCCAAAACAATAGCTCCGATTTTCTGTGTACTACGTCACCGTTATATGCAAATTCTCCGTAATACAGAATGCTCTCCAATGCTACGTCATTCAATTAGATACAGTTCTAGTGCTGGCTAAACCGGATTCTTACCAAGCTATTGATATAAGCAATGTATGTCAACACTGGTTTTAGCAAATAAAGAAAAATAAACTCACAAATTCTCGCTCCTTTGAATTTTAATTTGCTTGTCTTGTAGGTATGGTGTACACGTTTTTTTTTTCGAGTAGGGAGACTTAAAAGAAATTATGCGAACCATTGAAATCTCAGTTTTATATGAATTAACAGAGATAGTCTTTTCAAATAGTATTTGGTTTATCATTTTTATTCTTATTTGCTATTAATATACATGTATGTATTTTCGTCATGGGTTTATGCATAAATTGTAAGGAAACGGTTATAGAATGTATTTATTTACTTTTTGGGTATGTGGGTTAAAAGATAAAAGTGACATCTTTACATTTCAAGAAAAGATGTTTTGAAATAAGGATATGCAAATGTTTAACTTTTCTACTAACAAAACGAGGAAAACTGCGAAAAGGATGACTCAGACAGTCATTATAAATATATTTGAAAGGATGCAGTGTTCGAGCGAATTTAACTTAACACACCCAATTAATAAATAGTAAACTTTATATACCCATAGCAAATATTCCCCATTGGTGTTTATGTGTTGGTCAATTTTTAAAAATGTGATTGATTTTATTTATTGAATAAATTAATTTGCTAATTTCAATTGAACAAAATAATTAGTAATTCAAAAGTTTAAAAAAATGTTGGATACAATCATGGATAGACGTGGTACTTTTAAACTCAGCACAATATAGCTCATACATACGTATTCGTAGATGGTAAACAATATTATATGAATTATATTAACTGTTACTTAAAAATGTGTCAGTGCGTGTGTTTGGGGTAGGGGTAGGGTAGGAGTGGTAGGGGTGGTAGGGGTGGTGGTGGTGGTAGGGCGGAAAGCACATTTTATTCAATGATTCGCTTGCACTGCTGCCATCAGTGCCATCATTCCTGATAAGACAATTCACGAACTGTGAAGTGTTTTTTTTGACCCTCCACGGTATACGCTTGTTAGCGTGTTTGAATTGTGTTTTAAAAGCATTTAATTAAGAAAGTATATAAACCGTTTAATTTCTTCGTTCCCAGGTATAACATTTTCGTAACTTACATAATATGTACAAAGTGTAGATAAAATTGCTGGGAACCAAATCTCTGTGCTATTCTTTACAATGGCAATTATTGACATTGAATCTCGTGAGAAATTCAAACATCTGAATATTTCACAATATATAATAATATTGAAAATATTGACAGGCTGCCTTCTGCGTGAGAGCGCTATTGACAAGAGTTGTTTCCCTTTTACCAGTGGTTTGATAGACGCAGAGTATGCTATACTACGATATTAATACTGGTATGCTATATGATATTGTTAATAATAATGTTACAGCCATATGATATGATATTATTAATAATAATGGTAAATGGCAATATTAATAATAATGGTAAATGGTAATATTAATAATAATGGTATATGATATCATTAATACTAATGGTATATATTATTATTAATAATGGTATATTGTATTATTAATAATAATGGAATAATATCAATAATAATTGTAAATGGTATTATTAATAATAATGGTATATGATATTTTTAATAATAATGGTACTAATATTGTATATGATATTAAAAATAATGGTATATGATATATGGTATTATTAATAATAATGGTGTATGATGTTATTAAATGGTAATATTAATTATTATTAATAAAATGGTAATATTAATTATCATTAATAATAATAATGGTATATTATATATGATATTATTAATAATGGTATTTGCTATATGATATTATTAATAATAATGTTATGCGATATGATACGATATTATTATGACTGTGTATATACACCCATTTTGTTCCTTTATTTTAATATTATGTATGTATATTATCTAGAGAGAGGAGTTTTACATAGGCTAAGGTTGTTCCCCAATCCCATTCAGACAAACTGAATAAAATATTGTTTATAAAAAAATATATTATTATGATATTGATAGATTTTGACTCCCATAAATTCAAAATATGCAAGAATCATGTAAACACATAAATAGAAAGACATGACATAGCAAATTACAGATCTGACAAAAGAAATGCAATGCTGTTGATCGTCCTACTGATCTGTCCAGACTGATAAATGACAAAGACGGGATCTGGCAATAGAAATGAAATGAGATGTGGTTTAACGTCCTACTGTTCTGCACTGAACTGGGCTAATGAAGACGGGCATACGCCATGCAGTGTGCTATTAGGGAAATTTTGCCCGGACCGCGTCACTACGGCGTACTCATATATCGAATTAAATCTGCCAAGGGTTCTTTTACGTGCATGCCAATGTGTACACGGGACCTCGGATTTTCGTCCCATCCGAATGACTAGACAGCTGTCTTTGTCAGGCTCTCCGTGCTGCATCACTGACAAGAGGGAACCACGCCGGAAAATCTGGATGCACTTTCTCGGCCAATGCAGGGATCGAACACCCGACTTCCAAGCTAGCGAGTCCGACTATAAAGGGTTTATTCTTACCCCAAAGAGTGATACTGATGTTATTTGAAAAGTTAGAAATTCTATATTGATTTCATCAAGTTTTGTATGTGGTATCTGAGTGATTAGAACATTTCAATTGTTTTGAATAAGCAGAAACATATTTGAATTTTAAAAGTTTGGCAATACAAAGTTATCATAATACCTTTAGTTTATTAACTCATTGATACGCAGTATAACCTTTTGAGAGTAAAAATATCTTTCTTTGTAATGTATACCAGTCTATAATTTATGATTATAATTTGTAAACAATGTATTCATGTTTATTTAAATGATTTCTTAAGGAAGATAAATTTATACTATAGCAGCTCCGGTTTGTTAGCGAGAGAGAGAGAAATGGGGTTTAACGTCCACTCGACACAAACTAGGTCATTTCGGGACCAACATATGGTTTAATTTTATTTCAATAATTCGCTTGCGCGTAGGGGTCTTTAGCAGTGGGAGGAAACCGGAGGACCCGGAGAAAACCCACGAGGTTGGACAGGCGACCCTAATCCTTGTCACGTACAACCGGGGATTCGAAACCATGCCAGTTGACTCAATGACAGGCCTTATGATACAGCTCGCACGTGCTAACCATTCGGCCATCCACCCCCCCCCCTCTCCGGTTTATTGCCAGCTCTGTTAATCATATATTGATAACCAGTAAATATTTATTGAATACATAGTGTTAGAAAAAAAAAGGTATCACGATTTGAAAAAAAAAAAAATAAAATAAAATTTATGAAAACCCCAAAAAGGAAAAAAGCAAACCAGTATTTAAAACATCTAACGAAGTGTTTGAAATTACACCCAGTTATGAACGTTTGTCTAATTAGCTTACTATTAATTTGTAAATGTTGACGTCTCCAAGTGAACAATTTGTTTAATACTTAACCCATAAACAATTGCTTCTTCAATTAATATGAAAACTGAATAAGGTTAAGTTTCACTTTGACACAAACCCTACAAATTCTAAAGACACCTGTTTCCAAATTTAGATTACTGGGTTAACCAGGCCATTTAAGTTGTAGCTCAAACAAATTAAATAACCTCATTCAAGTAAGCAAAAGAGGCTATAATTGTAATTGTATAGCCGTTTAATAGATACGATGTTGGGAAGCTGTAATTAAGGTAGGAAAAACCTTATCTATATCATTTAAGTACGTAAAATAAGGCGTCAAAAAGGCGACTTAGGTTAATGTAAATTTGATACATAGGGCGACCTCTGTTTGAGTAAGGGGAGGTAACTGTGTGTTCACAACTTATCACCTCATGACAAAAGAAAGCACGCTTCAAGTGTACTTCTTGTATTAATTGGAATGTTAACATCGTAACCCCGTACTAAGTAAACTTGATGAGGGGTTCTATCCATTTTATATCTTATAGATTATCCCCGTGCTTTATACTGATGAGATCAGGTAGGCTAAGTTTCGTAAACACCGGTTTAGATAAATCAGGTCAGACAGAGGAGTGGCAAGGTCACCTTTTTATTTCACGTATCTTTAATAAATGTTGATTTTTTGTTATTTTGTACCCTCTTTATTTGAAAATTAAGTTGATTAAAATCAAAATGAATAAATTAATATCGTTCTTAAGCAGTGGGAAGAAACCGGAGAACCCGGAGAAATCCAAGAGGTCGTCACGTACAACCGGAAAATCGATGGGGAAGAATTGTCGACTTACATAATAGAGGCAAAATAGCTATCCTTTATTTGTTGTCCCGATGAAACATTGAGCATTAACTATTAACTGGTAATAAAAAGTTAGTAAACGAACCTAATATGGGTTGCGACCACAGCACAAAACAGACCCCGAAATAGTTAATTAGGATAATCTGCTTCCTAGTCGAACGAGAGCCCAATGCAGCATCAATCCTATTGGGTATTTCCAATTCCTACGTAATTAATATATTCGCAGAATATAGTTTCTTAATATTTATTTTCTTAATCTATTTCCTGATTGTCCCACTCCCCTGGCCTTTTTTTAAGTATTTGTAAACATCTTGTGCACAATTACATGTATGTAGTTGTCATTATGTAAACAAAATGTCGGGATAGTAAGATGCGGTATGTTTGTTTTTTGATGAAATGGGTTTTTAATGGGGTTGTCTGCACCAAAGATTTTGATGAAATTTCGTCCCAAAATAGACTTACTGAGAACATTGACCACCGATAATATCTGAAATTCTTTACGCTGTCAAAGCAGAAACAGAAATAAACACACTCGGCAAACCTCAGCAGATTCCAGTACCCTACATCTAGCCTGAAACAAACAGTAACACCAAAAATTCATGCAAGATTTTAGAACAGGAAATTTCTCATATCATTTGATGTTAGAAATTTTAGGGTACCGTGTTAGTCGAATGGTGACGACGTTGGGCTCTCGATTAAATGTATCGGGTTTGTGTGTCGATTAAATGTATCGGGTTTGTGTGTCGCTTGGGATTCAACGAATAAATGGAAGAAAATCCGCTGGTCTTAAATATATATTAACTCTATAACAACAGTTTGGACAATCCACAACGTTTTAGGGTAAATATTCGGTATAGATGTCAACTGGTTGGAATTCAAATATCAATCACTAAAATACAGATACGGTTAAAGGTACATTATGGGAGATTAGATAAAGAACTGGTAGTCCTCACTTTAATAGTTAAAAACTAGATAATGTAAAGGGTATTTGCTGAAAATTTCAGTCAAATTGATCCACCCTGAACCGAGTATTTAGCGATTGAATTTTGGGCCTAGGCTCGATCATCATTACTAAAGTCGATACGATAAAAAACATAGTCTCGATTATCCATTTGTTTGATTTAATCAGAAGCTGCAGACCAGATTCTAATCCAGTAAATATCGCAGCAGGCTAGCTATGCCACCGAGAGTTGATTATGGTCTGGATAAGTTAATCAATGTCTAATTAATAATTTAGATAACATTTCAGGCCTAAAGAAAGACCTGCAATTGGCAGATTCAGCTCTTGCCAAATTTCTGTTTAATGTTAGTCTAGTTTAGTCATAGGACAGCTGAAATCTGGCTAATCTAATGCTCTATAACAATGGGCCCTGTTCGTGTGCCGTTGATATAGTTTAAAAGTAGGAGTTACTTCCCTTAGAATGTAATAAATGTATCGCATTAAAGTTCAATACGAGGAAGTTGAATATATCTGGCAACAAAAGATACGCCCACTGTACCCACTCATATCGTTGTAGTCTGCACATGCTATGAAATACGAAGGGCTGCGATGCTAGAGGACACAGGCACCTGAAGGGATTAAAATCAAATTTCTTGACTATATACTGTTTAAAGTCATATTTCTATATCCAGTTTGCAGCAACACAATAAGTAATTTGACAGTCCGACTCTTTGATTTGGGGTCTCCCATAACACTTCGGTAATTTGATGAAATGTAGGCCTATTTAAAGATGGCGAAAATATTGTTCGTCTGCTGTGTGGTCCCACAGGCTCCTGTAAGGCGGAAAGTATTTAAAACATAAAATTAGGCCTAAGCTATATGAGTAAGTGTAATGTCTGAACTATGTTACGACCATGTGGTCTGAATCCGATTTCTAATTCAAGGGCAAATAACTCTCCTGAAAGCGATTCTCTTTCAGTCGATATAATAATACCAAGGTGAGAAACGGTTGGAATTAAAGAATTGGGGTCAAAGTTCATCGCTCTAGATTTCGTCGACCAGTGGCAATACTCACTAAATTTCGATAGGTAGACAATCGAGTCTACGATGACGTTTTAAAATTATCCATGTGACCCTCTTTAAGTCACGTGGACAATTTCAAACGTCATCGTAGACTCGATTGTCTACCTAGCGAAGATTAGTGAGTATTGCCACTGGTTGACGGGGCAATTTCGTTAACATGTGTTACTGCCCCCTCGCTGCACTCAGTGTCGATGGATTTTCTAGCCAGTTTTCTACGAGGTCGCACTGTTTCGATTTGTAATAATATCTTCAAAAACGAAAATCAGATGCCATATCTTGATTATATATGCACTGTATTACTACTTTATTCTTCAACATTCGATTCATACCCCATGTATAATATACTCAGACAGGACTAATAAGATCAACGATCGGCGCCCTCTAGGCTCTATCAGTATAATTAAAGATGCATTATGTAAAAACTGATGGCTGACTTTTCCTTTGGCCTCAATTGTTATATAACTGATTAATTATAAATCATAATCAACTCTCTAGAACATTGGATCGTTATGATGTTGAACCGATTGAAACACGATCGCTATTTAATAATGTAATTTAAAAATGGATAATCGAGACCATTTATTATTGTAACAACGGTAGCAATGAAACTCGAGACTACCCTATTCTTCAAAAGTTCATAACTTCGGCCAGAATGAAGTAGTTTTTTGATTGAAATTTTCAATATATTTCATTTTCGTTATCTAGTTCTAAACTATTCTAACAAGAGCTGTCAGCCCTTTATCAAAATCTCAAATAATGCATCTTTAAGATAGGCTATATTGCAAGTCTAGAAAGGTGCATTTCGTACATACAACAAACAAATTGAAATGTTAATTATAAAATTATCAAACTTTATTTAATTCGCAAAGACGGCTACAGAATTGGCAAATAGTAATCAAAAGTAGGCAAGATGGCGCAATACAACAAGTAAATAGCCCTTAACAGTAAAAATATACAAAGAGACAAATAAGGCCCCTGTATTTTAACCAGATTGTATTATCTTAGATTGGGGTTAGTTTTGATCTAGCGAGAGTTATCTATACATAAAGGGTTTCTTTACCAAAACATTAATTCCTGGAAACAAAATCATTGATTGTAGAACTAGCGATATCAACTGCCAGAGAGGGTAAAGAATCTCCACACGAAGTTAGACTGATTAAACCCTTTAACACCCATTGTCCTTTCAGATTACATAGTACCATTCCACCTTCGTCACCCTACAATAAAAAAGAACAATACAAGATAGTTAGACACCTACCTTAAATCTTTTTATGACCCAGGGGAAAGTTAAAACGATAAGGTAGGGCCTACGGATTTTTTTTTTGTCATTTTTGCAAAGCTTTTTTTTTATTTTGTTTTTACAAAGATTCCTGAAATGGAATATGTTTCCGGAAAGTCATTAGGGACCTCGATGTCTTAAACAGTAGCGCCTATCGATAAAAGTATAGTACAGCCGATACGTGTTGCGTCTTTTATTTTGTACCCAACCTTTAGTTAGTCACGGGAAGATCTGAAAGGTAAATGACTCCGATATCATATGATATAACGTATTGCAAGACGGAATCCCATTTCAGATCCTTTGATATCAAGAAGCAGCAGGTAGAAGTGTTGATGATCATGACCCAATGAATGTTTTACTAGAGGTAACTCAAAATACTGTCACAATGTGCAAATATTACAGGAAGTGGAATATCTATTTACTCATTGCAGTTTACATTACATGGGTAGGCTATTGTTGGGGTATTATGGACTAAATCAACTTCTATAGAATCAAAATGTTAATGACAATCACATAAAGATACGTGTAATACAAGGCTACAAAGATGACATGCTTCTCGTGACGCGATCAACCATGCAATAACAATTCAAGTTTGACAATGAATCCACACAATCCTTTTGCACCGGATTACTGGAATTAATACTATCACACCTGAGACCCATTTTATGTGAAGTCATGTTATATTAAAATCCCCAATTATAAAGATTTGTAAAATAATAGTACCAAACAGGCTGTCTGCTTGTTCTTGCTTTCATCTAAACAGAAAATATTCTCGGGTAATGTAGAGTTATCCCCATACCGGTAGATAGCACTACATACTTCCGGTCCCAACATTTCGGTGTAGGCCCATCGTAGTTTTGGTGATTTCTCTGCTCCTACAGCTGAAACAATATAACATGAAATACTTACTAGGGGATGTTAAAATATGTTGTTAGTTCCGTTTGCCCAGTTGGTCAAAAAATTAATACCACGCCCCCCTCCCCAAAAACTTCGCGGGCTTCACATAGCTAACAAGTTGTGTATTGTAATACAATTGTGTATTTACACACACACGCACACACACAACCACATTGTAGGCTATATGAACTTCCCTGATAGTAAGAACGGGCTATAGGTGTTTTTGAAGCTCACTACATATGGGCAATTTATAAATTTTGGTCCAATTCACGTTGTATATATATATATATATATATATATATATATATATATATTTGGTCGCTGAATTTTAGAATTTAAATCGCTTATGAATATTTCGAGAAATTTTGGAAGAATAACTATATCCTGCCGGGTGCTCGACATTTGTCATAACTTTGTAGCTATATAAAGCGAATGCCTGGATCTCAATTTCAGAAGCTGAATTATGGATAATAAATTAGTCAATTATCAATGTTGTTCCAATATTAAAAATCTAACTGCTTTACCTTTAGGGCGGATTGGTTGGTCGAGTGGTTTAACGCGTGCGCTTTAGATCATAGAATCTGTCATTGAGTCAAGTGGCGTGGTTTCAATTCACCCACCCCTCTAGTACGTGACAAGACAAGAAGTAGTGTCCTCCCAGTGCTAAAGACCACTAAGTGCAAGCGAATTATTAAAATAATATTGAACCATATATTTGTCCCGAAATGACCTAGTTTTTGTCGAGTGGAAGTTAAACCTAATGTCTCTCCCTCTCCTCGCTCTCTCTCTCTTTACCTTTATATTTTCCCCAGCCAGCCATGACACATTCTTCAATATAATCATCACAGTACTCATCAGTACCCCTGGTCTGTGTTACACATGCTGGTAGAGCACATTCACCATACTCTACAGCTTTAGCTAATCTTACTACAGCTATATCATTAGCTGGAAATACAAAATACAAAAACTTCCATGAAATTATAAAGGTGGGCTTATATTTGACGCTATATTGGAGATAGTTTGTGGTAGTATGCAAAGTTTAATTCCAATATGCTAAGTTATCTCTGGGATGTAGACGTTTGAACTCACATGGAGTTTAACGAGCGCTCATTTGAGATACTTTGCTCTAAGTAGACCAGTCCTTAGAGGTTTCATTATTAGTCAATTCTAATGTTATTTCAAATATGGTATTATACAAAACAGGCCAAGTTTATGTCAATAATCAATAATACCTATTTAAGCATTGTGTGGGTAGAATGGGTATTTCGGGACCCAACGACCATAACATTATCATTTTTGGGGAACTGGTTTATAATTGTCCTCCGAGATTTTTTTACATAATTGTCAGCTAACGTCGAATATAATACTGCAATTAGTACGGAAATGAGGCGGTGGCAACATTTACCGTTTGACCAGAAACCAAAACTATTACATTATTACATTACATTATTACATTATTGGAAACAAGTGCCTAAATTGTACATGCTCGGTCTAAGCTCTGCATTCGGACTCTTTCTTACTGATGATATTGCGTTAATCATTCTAGTATGCCAGATCTGTAAACAAATCTAGGAACTCTAGCAACGCCGACAAAAGTGAATTGCAGATTTTGATGGTGGTTTCAAAAATACGTTATAATATTCATCTTCACAGCTTTTATTACCTAGAATATTTTTTATAACTGGATTGACTATTCATCAGCCTTTATATTAAGTTCCAGTTTGATCGTATTTGATTAAAATTATGCATACAAAATTCTATTCATGATTGGGGTCTTAGATTACCCCTTGTTACCGACAAGGTTTTTCGTGCGTTCTGTTTGCACAACGGTTATGGATGTTTTTAATTAAACTATTCAATAAGCTCACTTAAAAAAAAATAGCTAAACTTATGAAACCATTGAAAGCCGACTTTTAAGTGGTCGATTTAAGTTGAACTTGACCCTGCCTTGATTGAACTGACACACCCTGCGAATTTTGACGCGTCTATGTAGAATCTAGTAACGTGTGTATTACGTACAAATGCAAATGCCATCATATTCCGGATGTTGACTCATTGACGTAACTGGTATAATAGTTTCTGTTGGTTTTCCCAGTCCATCCTTTTCATCTTCTACCTCAATGTTATACTCCCCAATCACAACTTCAAACTGTCCACCCAAACTCTCTAAACTAAAATCATAGATAATACTTGTTATAGATATTCTGTGTCAATTTTCAGGATCGTAATTAGTATCAATAGGTACTGTTATACCATTTGAATGATTTTTCAAACTGAAATGTTTGTCTTATTTCAGGGTGTATGTTGAAAGTTATCAAAAGGTCCCCACTGCCCTTCCACGATAACTACATAAAGGACGAGTCTCCAAACGAGGCCGTGGCGTACACGAAGTATTATCATAGGGAAGTTCATCTTGTAAAGTTTTCAAGGTTGTCTCAAGAGGTATGACACTGCACCGTCTCGTAAGTGCATAATGATGTACTTAACCAACATCCAATACAGATACATCAAAGCAAACCACCTGTGTTAGAAGATAAAGAAACTATACATAGTCCAGACTTTGGAGCATCAATTTAAATAAATCTAAAACGTTTTTTATTTGAAAATTAACCTCTCTGCACCAGACCCAGATTGAGCTTGCATGGGGCCCTGGCTGAAAATGTCAATGGCGCATTTTCTGGTCATTGTCCGTCACACTCATACAAATACAATTTGTAAAAAACGTTTTTTATTTGAAAATTAACCTCTCTGCACCAGATCCAGATTGAGCTTGCATGGGGCCCTGGCTGAAAATGTCAATGGCGCATTTTCTGGTCATTGTCCGTCACACTCATACAAATACAATTTGTAATTGTATGACATATTTATATGACACACATATATACAACATAATATCATACAACATGCTTTGGGGGTCCCTTTAATATTGGGGCCCATGGCCACAGCCCTGTCCACTCCACCCCGTGTCCCTTACTGCAATTTGAATTCCTACTTACGCCGCTGAACACCGAGCAGTTGTCAGCACTTTGTCTTCATCAATTAATACCCCAGCACACATATCCTTAGTACCAGTTCTTCTAACAGAGACCATCCATGGCCACTGACATCTTTGTGATGTTTCTGCATTTAGAATACGACTTGACGGAATTCCTCCGCCGGGTAGTGCATCGTACCCACATTTCCCTAAAAAATATTTTAATTGTTAAATGATGCACTTATCAGGAGGTCATAGTTTCGATTCCGATGTTGGTTGTGAAAGTGTTTTCCTTTGACAGTGATATGGGGAGGATTGGCTTAAAACCAATGTCAATCAGTGGGCTAGTAAACGGATCCACTGTATGCTACACTGTATGCATGATCTATGCCTTTCTTCATTAGCCCCGTTTACGTGCAAGTTACCATACTGACATCTAAATAAATCTATGAACGTTACTTTTTTGTTTAAAACGCTTTCTTTTGAGCATATTGAAACTGAAACTGTGTTTAAGTATGTTTCAAAATACAACCGATAATCCGGTGTGTAATTCTGTTCCACATGCAACATTGTTTGGTTTTATATTTAATGGGCCCTTAAAAGCCCCCCCCCCCCTTAAAAAAAATCCTGTACGTGATTAACTGAGTCAGTGAAAATCTAGCAGCTTTCCACACCAAATATCCAATCTGTGACATTCTGTATTAAATAAAAACAATTAGATTGTTTTATATCAAATTATTTTAATGGATAGAAGACAGGATATTCGAATTGTTCAAAACATTACAAGGATAAACGCCCATTCAAATTTACATATTAAAACCCCCCCACCCCAAAACATAGAAATAGACGCAGCAAAATATGCACTTTATGGGGATGTTCACTGAGTTCACAGCTTTTGTCTAAATTCATAGGTAAATACTAATCATTAGATGGGCTTCTATGGTTGCGGGAGGCAGAGGTAAAATGAAAGTTATCTGTCTCGCCCCATTCCGCACCAAACGTCACCTCACCCCCACCCCTCTCTCTCTCTCACACACACACCCTTACTGTGACAATGTGGCATTCCACGCATAACAATACATACACATCTGACTATAGCTATAGTCTGCACATATCCATAACAGATACAATTTATTTAGTGAATTGCAATTTCAGGTGTTTGTATACGACGATTGTTTTTCTGTGAGTTGCAAGTTGTGGCTAAATCTTAATTAAACATGCACTAAGGTGTAGTATTTAGCACGGTACTTATTTGTATTATCTATCGACTTACCACTCAATTGGTATGGGTAATTTAAGAGATCAACAGATGCACGTCATGAATATGTGATCAAAATTCTTTTACTACAGGCGTATAACTAACGTCAGACACCTAACGTTTTGCTTGTCATTGCTTTCGAAAAGTATTATGCCCTTAATGGGTCATAAAATGCAAACCAGCCGTACTTTACAAATTGTTAACATGTTCAAACTTGTCTTTTTCACATGGCTGAGCAACATGGTATGAACCTAGGGCCTTGCATGGAACCACATTTACGTTTATGCACAATACAAATGGTTAAGATATTCAAAGTTCGTTCTGTCCCAGTCTGTGGCCTGAGCAAAATGATATTGAGCCTTAAATCTTAAAGGGAGTCGTGTTCAAGATTAACCGTAATAGGTTTGGCGATAGATAATCTAAATAGTATAGGCCGAGCACGGAGCCCGTGTAGGGTGCATCATGAAAACAACAATGCCGTTTTTCTGACCCTTAGTGTAATGCTATCTTTTCTATTGGTGTATATACCTGGGACTGTATTACAGCCTATTCGTGTCCATGTTCAAAACTCGAAAGTATAATCTTGACGATACGTTTTCAGCGTAATACAATCACCTCAAGATAACTTCCTCTGTTTTTGTCGAGACCGAAGTGCGAAGACACAGTGACAACTCCCTAAACCACGATTGTTCGTATTTGTATTAAATTCGTGTGCAGCCTGTGACATATCATACTAAACTAAAATGAAATTCAGAAATGATTCATGCAACAAAACAAACAGACTTACCATCTATAGCGAACACGGAGACAATCAAAAGCTGAACAAGGAGAAATAATTGACGTATCATCATTTCGAACAATTAATCCCAATCAAAATGACCACAATAGTCTTAATTACTAGGGCTTTTTTTTCAAACTGTTTCAAACATTATTCTCTTGGTAATTTCCGGGAGTGGTTTAAAACCAAAAGGTATCTACTACATCTACGCAGGAAAAAAGTCATTCTTTACATAAAGTGAAAGATAAACATTAGCGAAACGAAACAGAGAGATGAGAAGGTAATAAAAGTTGGTTAGAGAAAAGAATACTGTAATAGTTTAAAGAAGAGGCGTTTAACGGGGTATCCTTTCACTTTCTTGTTTGTAAAATAGACAAACGTCTTTTTGAAATGTAGCTCGTCTGTGTATTTTGGAGTCTGTAAGTACAATGGCTTTAATACGCGTCACTGGGTGGGACGATGTACAATCGTGATTGGTTATAAAGACAACACAGTGACCAACAATGAATAACAATAAACGAATCACGACAAGTTGTCATATAAATTGGTTTAGATATAAATATTAGGTCATCCTCTTGTGGGGGTGTTCTCACTTTCCCAGCAGCTATTGTTTTCCAGGTAAAATCATTGGACCAGTACTAATTAGGGTAACAATGGTGTTAAAACTATAGTCTTTTTCATATCAATATTAACCACTTTACATAAAAGTTATTTTATTAACAAATTGTGTACATGAATGGATCAATAATGCCCCCCCCCCTTTTGTTGTGAAAAAAAAGACTTTTTATATGGAAAACGATAAAATTCATTTCAAAATCAGAGAAGTGTGGACTATATCCAGGACTTGGTCAAGAATTTTCAGTGTGGTGCCGGATAGAGGGCCTGGGAAGTTACGGTGTCTAGTCGTTCTAGGTGGGACGCAAATCTCCTGTGTGTACACGTTGACGTGCACGCAAATAGCCCTTGACAGTATTGTAAATCGGAATAAGTGAAAGCCGTAGCGCCGCTGTCCGAGTAAAATTTTCCTTAGCGTCTTCATTAGCCCAGGTGGATATGCTGACGATTATATAATTGGTATCGAGTACCTTTGTCAAAGCAAAGATCTAGTTTAAGGCTTTATTAAAATTAATACATACAAATAAAACCCCAAACAAAGCAACAAGTACGTGCGTAATAATTGGATTTTGAACCATTTATGACGTCATCGCAGCCATCTTGGAATTGTAACGTCATATCTAAAATCGAGTACACCGCACTTGAATTGCCGGAGCCCTATTCTTTTTTTTATAGAGCGTGGCCACCAAAAAGAATAAGAGCAACACAAGCAACAGTTCGTCGTAGCTGATGAGCAATTCTACCTCACTTCCCTTACGTATTTTATTAGAAGACATTTTTTATTTAGAATTGAGCAAAAACTAATATTTTGAATGTGTGAATAATCTCACATTTTATAAACCTTGGCATATATTTTATTTGTCGTTTATTATTTGTATTGAGGTATATAAGAGGTATGCACTCTACAGGACATTAATGAATATTATTTAATCGCACTAGAGCCAATAAAGGCTCAACTATTGTAGACCAAAGAAAGTGTTTTGAATCAATTTTAACAAAAGATATACGGGGTTTCTCATGCCCTAATATTTATAAAAGTAATTTAAGATCTGTGAATTTGCATTGTTCAGATAACACAAAAGAAATAGAAAAAGAAAAATTAAAAAAAAAAAAAATCCCCCAATACAGAGAGTTACAAAAAATAAACTATGAAAAAAACCCCCCAAATACCAAACCACTTCAATCAATTAGAAAAAAAGAAAGGAACAAAGCAATATAGAAACCCATAAATACCAAGAACTAAGAACTCTAATACAAATAAACGCCTTTAACTGCCCACTTCCCTGATCAAATACCTTATTGTTTAAAACATCAATTTGCTTTTCGTATGGGCGGGCTATAATTTTTTTTCCCTTGGCTTCTGAACTGAAATGAGGCAACGTTCAATAGATGTTCGATGAATTCGTTGACTGGGCGTTCAGAAACGTTTCCTTTTGAATAAAATACATTCAAAACCAAAATAACATTTTTAATTGCAGTCCAAAAAGGAATGCCGTGCTGTTTAATCACAAATATACGATAAAATCTCGTTTAGCAAACACTCGATATTTGTTTAAGATCAAACCCTTGGAAAAGATTTTTTTTTTTTAAAAGATAATATGTTTAGTTTTGTAATGCAGTGCAATTTATTTACTTGGTCACGTCCTGCTGCAACATCACTAAGTTGATAAGTGCAAGCAATTAAAATACTAGAATAGCGATGATAACTTTTGAAGATTATTGTTATTGTATGAAAATCACAAGTTTTACACGCCCGAAATTGTAGACCAATCAGCTAAGCATGTCCTTTATGGAGAGGAGACTGATGGAATAGACCGAGATTTACGGTCAGTCAGAAATGATCTAAAATAAATAACCACACCTTCATATCATTTTAAAAAAATAAGCCACCGAACAAAGGGATCCACAATTTTAAGGAAGTGTCTGCTGGGCATATATTGGCATATTACATGAAATCCATAATCCATTACACTTGCCCAATTCACGTGTCTACATGGCTAGATCTATTTGTTAAGGCCAACTCAATTTTCGTCAAGGTCGCTGAGGTGTAAATAAGGTGAGGGCACGTGGTTGTTGGCGAGATTGTAGGTTAGGATTAGGGTAAGCGTTAGGGTTAGGTCCTGGGTTAGGTTTAAGCACTGACCTAGAATGATGAAAATTTGGTTCGTGATATTTCCTAGTTTTATTAAAAATACATGCAATACATTAGATTAATATACATAATTGGTTTCGCTTTTTTTTGGTGTCAGTGGCGACGATGGTCTTCCTTCGGTGTCGCATGTGGTGTTCTGGTTTTTTTGGTTTCTGAAGAAAGAAGAATAAATTTAAGGAGAGCCACATTAGTGTGTTTCCTACTTAGGCTTAGCTTTTCTAAAAATGAGGTGTTTTTTTTCACTATCCAGGGGTTAGGGCTAGGGATTCTTATAGCTAGTTAATTTTATTTACTAAGGGTTAGGGCTAGGGTTTGATATATTATTTGCTGTTTGGTTAGGGCGAGGATTGGTGTTATTTACCCTTATTTACTGTGTACTAGGATGTCGATCAGATTTTTATTTTTAGAATATGCAATTATAAGTTTCCCTGTGAAGATTTTCGGGTGATTTTCTTGGAGATCAGTGTAGTGTTTTCTGATGATTTTGGATGCACTTGCTGCTGTTGCGCTAAATGGAACTACAAAAGAGGCGTATGAATATTCAAACCTAGGGTGGGGGTGAGGTGGGGCTGTTGTTTTCAATTTGCCAATCCAGAATTTTTCACTTTTTGGCCTAAACGTTTTAATTTCTTCTGTAGTTTCAAATTCGCTCTTGGTCTTTTCTATTGGCGTGACAATGAGATCAGAAATGTCATGAATTGGTTGGATGAAGTGAATTGAAACCGGTTTGTCTTTTTTGGTGACTATGTCTGACCGGTGACCGTTAATTCTTTTCCGAAGTGCATTTTGAGCCTCCCCTACGTATTGTTTGTCAAATTGTCTACATGAAATTAGATAAATTATGTTTGAACTGCAGCCAGATATTTTGTTAAGGAAATGGTCAGTGATATTGACCATTATAGTGGCCATCTTCTATTTTAATATGGAAAATGGTTTTAATGAATAGGTTGACGCCATTTACCTCATAGTTCCAGCATGCCTGTGTGCAAACTTAAGGCCTGTTATCATAACGTGCGGTCGCCCACTCGGCAAACTCCGATATCCTACATCTAATCTTGGCGGTATGACGAATTCTACCATCGGAACTACTTTTCCCTGACTAAAAATGGCGGCACACATGAAGGCGCATGTGAAGAGTGTTTACTCATACAAAGCTGTCAAGGGCAACTTTGCAATGAAAACTCTACACACTCTTCGCACGACTTTTTTAAAAGCGGCAAGTTTTCTTAATAAGTAAACCGGTAGCCGCGTCATAATTGTTTGAGTGTAGCTACATATCACTTACCGTCATACAACCGAGGCTAGATGTAAGGTACCGGCGACTGTCGAAGTTTGCCGAGTTTTCGGTAGGCATTTGTTGGCCATCATCGATTTTACGATGATGTTCATCTAGCTGTCCGTTGTAATGGTATGCTTGATCCCCACAACCCAGGTAAAAGTACCAAAGTTACCCTCATAGCATGAATAGTAGGGTGTAATGATTAATTATATGGAATGGCGATCATCATTGGACGTCATCTTTAATTTCACCCTTTCGATCCCTGCATTGGCCGAGAAAGTTCATCTAGATTTTCCGGCGTGGTTCCCCCTTGTCAGGGATGCAGGACGGAGGGCCTGACAAGGAAAGCTGTCTAGTCCTTCGGATGGGACGAAAAACCGAGGTCCCGTGTATACATTGGAATGCACGTAAAAGATCCCTTGGCAGTTGTAATTCGATATAAGAGTAGGCGATAGTGCACCTGTGTGGTGTATGCCCGTCTTCATTAGCCCAGCATAGGAGCAGAACAGTAGGACGTTCAACCCCATTTCATTTCATTTTCATTTTCCAGGATTCAAATTGACCACCTAGTCTCCAACATTATTCAAGTATCAAGAGTCATGTTGAGGGGACATAGAAATTCACACAAGACCTCCATCAGATCAGATGTCTTATTTAAAGAAATTGTTCCACTGTGCAAAACATATTCTCGTGTAAACATCAACAATTTTTCTATTTTTGCAAATGTTGATTTCCGGAATAAAAAGTCTTATTAGTTATCAATGATTGGGGGGGGGGGGGGGATGGCTGAATGATTAGCGTGCACGCGCTGTATCATAAAGTCTGTCATTGAGTCGACTGGCGTGGTTTCGAATCCCCGGTTGTACGTGACAAGGAGAAGGGTCGCCTGCCCAACCTCGTGGGTTTTCTCCGGGTCGTCCGGTTTCCTCCCACTGCTAAAGACCCCTATGCGCAAGCGAATTATTGAAATAAAGTTGTACCATATGTTAGTCCCGAAATGACCTAGTTGTGTCGAGTGGACGTTAAACCCCATTTCTCTCTCTCTCTCTCTCTCTCTCTCTATCTATGATTGGTCGTTGGTTTAAAGAATCTCCACACAACCCCGTGTCCAGTTAAACAATCAGCCGATATAAAACGAAAAGTTAAAAAATAAATGAAATGGGGTTTAACGTCCTATAGTTAAAAATATGACAAGATGGGGCAAACATCCTCGCGGTCCTGATGGTAGATAGTACCTTTCTAATTTGCTGGACTCACTCACTACGTTATGTGGCAAATGCTTTTGGATACACATGTCTGCAATATCACCCTTGGCTGCAACGCATGTTTTAACAAGCTCCGTTCCCGTTATCATAAATGGG